AGACAGACCTAAATGTCATGCACGGTCCCAGAAGGGATCCTCTCCCGTCACAGAGACTATTCGTGGAACTCAGAGGGGTTTTCCCCTGAAAGGTATGCGATAGTCCTTTGTGCATCAGCCTGAACAGTTTCTTGAAAAATTTCAAAATTAAAAAAAAAAAGAAAGAAAAGAAAGTTAGCAGGGGAAATACGCTGCTATGGTGTGTTAGCTATGTTACCTTTGATGACTTTTTTATTTTTCTGCCTCAGTTTCCTCTCTTGTACCTGATGATAATAACAGTCACCCGAAGGCTGTGAGGAGGGATGGGGGAGTCGGAGAAGTTCCACTTCCCGCGTCTGGCTGCTGTGTAAATGCTCAATCCCTGGTCACTATGATTCCTATACTCTGCCGATATCCTAGGGGCTTCTTAGACCCTAGGAAATGGCACCAACAGTAAGCCATGTGATTGCGTGTATCCCGGGTGTGCTCAGTTAAACCCTGACAAAATACTTCTCCTCACTTAGAGTTTTTCATATTTATTGAAAGAGCTCTCTTAAACTTATTCAAATTTGGGTTTTTATAGTGTACTACTCTGATTGCATAGCCCAGGCATGTGCAGTGGTTTCCGGCTTTCTAAGATTTTTTTGTGTTAGACAGTCTCATCTTTCTCTTTCCTCCAAGGGCATCAGAGATACACACAGTGTCTCTTACGGGGCGCAGACAGGATCTGCAGCTTCTTCCAGCCACACGGAGCCTCAGCATCCTGTGCACATTCAGTCTTGTCGTGTCAGGAAAATAAAGGAAGAAGGGAAAAAGAGGGGAGAAAAATTGGAGAGGCAGGGACAGTGAATTTCCCTTCTGTCTTTGCCACAGCTAGATTTCCACCCAATATCGGATGACCTCACTCTGTTTGATGACTAATTATGGAAGGTGTTTCTCTATAAAGAGATTTGCATTTGGTGCTGCCGGGAAGCAGGATGTTTACCAGATGTTTGCCACCCTGGAATCCATGTAGATCCCCGAGAATAAGGGAGAATTGTAAGCTCAGCTGTCCCGTGTTGCTGGAAGCCCAAGGTTTCGATTTCAGACCCTCAGAACTGCTAATCAACATTTGCACCCGTAGCACATTTGACACTATTTCCTGTTTGCCTAAAGCTCAGATTTCAACTTACTATTTTGGTTTAATTTTTACTTGAGGAGAGGAAGGAACTGCCTTAGAAAATTCCTTCACTTCTGGGGAATCCAGCAGTGCACTTAAAGTCTGTTTTCTGCAAATCCTGCTGTTTTGCAGGGAAAAGGACTCTTGGTGTATTTTCCATGCAGGTGACTAGATGACACGAAGACCCTCGAAGCTCTGTTCTCAGGTTTGAGCAGACTGCACTCCGTTCCCTCCCTCCCTCACTCTAAGCTCTGTTAGGCTCCCGTGATTCACCTTCTTTCTCAGTGCTGCTTCCGGCTGAGGGCACAGAGGACCATCCCAGCTGCCCGAGGGCTCTCCTCCCCTCCTCTGTGACACTGAGACCCCCGGTGCTTCCATTTCCTGCCGTCACTTCTGTTGTGATCATTGTTCACTGGCTTCAGGTCGGTTCCAGAGGGACAGCATCTTTGATCTTTGCTTTCTTCCGTCATCTGTAACCCCAGAACTTGGGAGACTAAAGCAGGAGGATCATTGTGAGTTTGAGGCCAGCTCGGGGCTACATAACCGACTTCAGTGAGACCCCGTCTCAAAAACAAAAATAAATAAATAAAAGCTAACTAACTAAATAAAGAAAACCTGCATCTCTTTCAGTTCCTTGCAAGTGCAGGTGGTCTCTGGACCAGCATTTGAGCTTCAGACACTGGACAATCAAGGCGGAAGAGAAAAGCAGAGCTGAGCAGGCTCTTGGGTGCCAGGGAACAGAACTTAAGACACTTCTAAAGTGATTCTGTACAAGGGAAGCGCAAACAACTCCACAGAGGTTCCTCAGACGTTTGGCACACAATCAGCAGTTCCCTCCTGAGCGTGCCCAAAGCATGGGCCGCAGAGGCTTGCACTCGCGTACTGAGGGCAGCCTTGTTCGCAGTTGCCATGAGGTGGACTGAACTCACGTGAACGGGACAGAGACATAAATAACAAAATGACAGTGGTATATCCCTGCCACTGAATACCACTCGGACCTAAAAGGGAGGAGCTATGGTTTATGTCTAGATGTCCCCCAGGAGCCTCACAGCTTTTAGTGGGGCTTCAGGTGACTGATTGGATCATGGAAACTTCTCGCTGACTTGCTGTCGGGAGATGGGGGTCTGCTGGAAGGGGCAGCTCATGGGCGGGACCTGAAGGGTATAACCTTCTCTGCAGTCCCTTCCCACATTCTGCTTCTGCTCTCCCTGAGGGGTGCCGCTCTCCTCCACCATGTCCCTCTGCTGGACTGTCCTGCCTTGGAGCCAGCCCACCACAGACTGGAACATTAGTTAAAATAAGCCTCGGCCCCTTAGGTTTCTGGGATGGAGTCTCTCGGTGGCAATGACAGGGACTAAGGCAGAAGGAAATACTGACACGTTCTATAACCTGGACAAACCCTGAGGACGTGATGATAAGTGAGATAAATCTGCCTTGAGAAGGACAGATCCTGCTGACGACATTCATGGGAGCTCCTTACAGTGGTCAGAGTCCCAGACTTGGGGGATGGATGGTGCTTCCACAGGCTGGCAGAGGTGGGGGTGAGGTGGATGACTAATGGTCACCAAGACTCAGTCTGGAAATGGAAAAGCTTCTGGAGACGGGGGGTGGTCATGGCTGCCTGCAAAATGTCCTGAAGGCCGCCGAATTGCACACTTAGAAGTGGTAAAAATGGCAAATGTTGCGTTTGGAATATTTTACTACAATCCTAAAGAAAGAAAAAGAAGGCTCAACTGGGTCACAGTAAGAGAAATCAGAATAGCGGTCACCTTGCAAGAGGACGAAAGAAGTCCCAGGGGTCACTCTGTTTCTCAGGCTTCAGGTGGCTATGCGGCCTTATAGATTTATAAATATTCACTTCACTGTGTGCTTGGGATTTGCACACTTTAGCGTATGGAAATTTAAAACCCTCCCATGGAAATATGGTAAAAAATATTTTTAATTATATAAGAAGAACTAAATTCCCAGGCAGAGAAGAAGCAGGCTCCATGACATTCAAAGCTCCTGTCAGGACACCTTGTGGGTGACCATAGCTCATGCCCCCACCAAACCCCTGGAGACTATACTGCAGTGGGTTTTTTGTTCCAGTATCTTTTAGTGGGTGTGATTGCTTTGCTAGTTTTTAATCTTTAAAAGTTGGATATTGTTGAGTTCCCATATCTCGATTTCCAACCACTCCCCTGGCGAGTTCTGGCCCCATAGGATCCCTGGGGTCGAGGTGCCCCTCTGTGACCTGAGGACAGGGCATCATACCCATCAGGAGCACTGCTGAGCTGCCAGCCTGGATGGCACAGAGGAGGCTAAGCTGGAGGCCGTGCCAGGCCTGTTCAGTGTCCCAGGAGGCAAGGTCAAGGTCAGGTGGATCAGCCCAGACTGGCCCAGGCTGGCCTTGTCTCATGGCTGTAGCAGCCTGGGACAAAGTTCTGGAAAGCTCATGGACCCCGAAAGGAGATACTGAGTCAGGGTGGGGACAGCATCCTCAAATCTGGCTTCCTGTGACATTGAGGCCAACTCAGCTACTGTGCATGATAAAAGCCACAGCCCAAGGTCTCAAAGAAGGCCCCGGGGATACCGCACCCAGCTACGAACGTGCAGGTGGGAAAGGGCAGGAGCGTCCAGGACCTCAGCTCTGCCCGCACACCCCTCACAGGGGGTCTGGATGACCACACAGGTCCCTACTAAGCTGACTACATGCCGGGCGAGTCTCTGGGTCTCTCTTGGAGAGCAGTGGAGTGAGGCCTCTCCTGGGTACCAGTTGGACCTCCCAGCTCCCGGGTTGATAGAAATTCACACCAGGTCTGAAAAGCCCCGAGACCAGACAGGTCCTAACGCTGTGGTCCAGTGACAAGCTGCAGTCCCAGTGAGAAGGTGCCGCCCACCCTGACCTCCAGACCAAGCACCAGGTGGCCCTTCTGGGTCCCCAGTCTCAGTTCAACATGACAGGGAGCTCACGAAAACAGGCATCAGGACAGAAGAGCAGAGTCATTACTTCTGGCCCATCCTTCCAGCCCTGAATGAGCCCTGCTGGGCTTGCCCTCCAGGAAGGGACAGGGACAGCAACCCGCATAGACCCTAAGTACTACGGGACCTGCAGCCACCTCGAGGCCCTCCACCTTCCCTAGCCAGCCTTGGCCTTCCTGCAGGGCACAGCAAAGAACACCAGGCCAAAGTCAGTGGCTTCGCAGCAGGTTCCATCCCCACCCTCCCCCTGGTCCTTTCCTGGGGTGACCTCTTAGCCTGCCTTTTTTTCTTCCTTTCTCCCTGCATTTGTTCCAGACACATCGCTAAGGGTCTCCTCTGTGCCAGGGTGTGCATCGGCAGAGAAATGCAAGCAAGACCCACGGCAGCCCTGCACAGCACTGGGGAAAGGGGTGAGGCTCCAGCGGACCCCAGGAAACCAGATCGCCTCCAGCCCCCTCTGCGTCTAGGCTCCCATGTGCCAGACTCCATGCTGCAGTCATCCCAAGCAGCGCCTCCTTTGGTCCCCTGCACAGCCCTCCCAGGTGCATAGATCTTGTTCGAAAGTAACAGATGGGGTCCTGAGTCGTGGAGAAGCCATACAGAGGTGAGTGGCACAAGGTCACTCTCTAAGAATCAGTGGACTTGGAGTTCCACCCAGAGCTGTCCGGCCCTGGGCTTGCATCTGCTGCAGCTAGGGCTTCTCCTCTCTGCTTTCCGAGGGAGCAGTCAGGGCTGACTGCGTGGAGGAGGCAGCCAGAGCTTGGAGACCTAGAGGCTGCGTAGGAGTTTTCAGGGAGGCTCAGCAGAGAAAACTTGCATCTGGTGCCGTCAGTAAGCAACACCGTGTGCACAGTTCTGAGAAGCTGGGCAATGCTTGTGAAAGGGCATGTGTGTAGAAACGGGCTCGCTTCCTCTTTTCTGAATCTCCGTTTCCTCACGACAGCAGCATAAATAAATAGGACGCTGTGAGGCACACAGCTGACTGGAGGCTCCCGAAGGAGCTGGCCTGGCCCAGCACGGAGGTAGGCCCGGCTTTCGGGGCAAGGCCAGGAGAGCAGGGGGGAGAGGAGGAGCAGGAGGGAGGGCCCAGGGCACTGCAGCTTGCTGCAGGGAGCTGGGGGGTCAGGGCTGGGCCGAGTCCTTGGAAGGCCAGAGGCGGGGAGTGGCTGGGGCGCTGTGTGAGGGCTCTGGGTGTCCTGGCTTCACCAGATGGGTGTGGTTATCCCGGTAGGGAGGATGCAGCCAGGGCCAGGGAGCCCCCCAGGAGTCACATACCGTCCCTGTGTGCTTTGCCACCAAGGCGTTGTTGGTGGCGGTGAGTGTGTCCCCTCCCTGGCCAGGGCTCCTGTCTCCTGTCTGTCTGTGGAATGGGGACAAGGCAGAGCATCCCCGGCCTCCTGGGGCTTAGAAAGAAGGAGGCAGGGGCAGGTGGCAGGCACAGAGGCTGGGACCTGGAGGGTGAGTCGAGCGACCCGGCAGTGCCAGAGCCCAAAGTTATGGGTGCAACTTAGGAATTCACCCTGAACTTGAGAGGAGACTCAGTCCCTTGTCCAGAAACACATACTACTATCCTGCAACCAAGTTGTGTGCGTGCGTGTGCATGTGTGTGATAAGGATTTCTCACACTCTATGAAGAGCCACCCTTGCTTATTTGGGTTTGGGTCCAGATGTGTGTGTTCTGTCCCCAAGCCTGGGTACCTAGGGGTGGACGCCTGCCTGTCCGCTACAGGCCGTGTCCCGAGTGTATTTGCCGTGGCCGAGAGACAGGTGCCTCGAGCTCGTAGGACCTTGGCTACCGTTTGCCCGTGCCAGGAGTGCTGTCTGTAGTCTTTATATTTTTGCACGATTGGATTTTCTTTTTCTCTTTTTCCTACTCATCTCTCTGCTTTGTACCATTTTTTATAGTTGAATAAGCTTTCCATCAGCTCTTGGCCACTGCTAGGCTCATGGGTTTTATAGCTGCACACACGCCTGTAGTTAATGTTAAACAAGTCAACACTTTCTCCATTAAAAAATTTAGCATCACCCAGAATTGCACAGCGTTAAGATGATGTTTCAGTCACTGCTACCCATTCCCTGTGACACAGGCGTCTCTTCCCCAGCGTGATACAACTGCAAGCTTTTCCTCTTACAGAAATGGGGTTGTAACACACACACTGTTCTATGGCTTATTTTTCCCTTACTATTACATCTTGAAAGGCATACGCAATAATACAGACAGACTGGACTTAATGAGCTAGGACCACGTGGCACTTATTCGTATGGGTAATCACAAGTCACCTAATCCGACAGCTGGCAAGGCTCAGGCGACTTCCAATTTTGCAAGTGGCAAAAGTGAAGCCTGGATTGTGCACAGTTAAAAATTTAACAAGTATTTCCAAATATCCCTCAGAGTACCCACACTCAGATGCGTGCTGCCAAAGGAGCATAAAACAGGCCAGTTTAGCTTTAGAGAAAATTACAGTGGTTCTGCCTGAATTTTTTCTCCTTTTCCCTGGTTGTGGCTGTGCAGTTCATCTCCCTTATGGTTTTTGGTTGTGTGATGAGCACGGGAACATTTTCTTCATCTTTTACATCTTAAAACTTTCAGAGCAGTTCATTCTTCTTGTGTGTTAATTTACTGACAAATATTGAAAACACAGTATCTCAGAGCTTTGCTCCGCTCTCTGCTGTGTTTCAGCCATCTTGTGTCCTGTAAGATATTTTGTTTATAAGTCAAAGCTTTCATCATTTGCTACTAAAATGTTTCCTGCTTTTGTTGTCTTGTTCAGGTCCTCAGAGTAAACAAATATTTTTAATGTTTTAGCATTTTAATTTGGACTTTTAGGTCTTTAATTCATTTGGAATTTACAGAGGTAGACAATATGCAAATTAATGATCTAACTTTTTAAAGAAATCATCTAATTGTGTAAGATTCATTAATTATAAGCATGTCGTCCCTTTGCGTCTTGGTGATTTGAAATGCCGCTACATGTTCCTGAAATACACTCTTTACTTGGTTATTCTTACTGTTTTCTGTCCTCTCTGTGGGCTGTCATATTGCTTGGGATCTTTTCAGCTAATACAGTTAGGTCTCTTGCCTTTAATTTATTGTAATTGAGAATCAGTTTGTCTAGCCTATGAAAAAAGTCTCTTTGGAGCCAGGAGTGGCAGAGCACGTCTCTAATCCCAGCAGTCTGGAGGCTGAGGCAGGAGGACCTCAAGGTTCAGCCCACCTTGAGTAACTTACGAAGACCCTGTCTCGGAGGGGTGGGGCTGGGAATGTAGCTCTGGGGGAAAGGTCCGGGTGCAAATCCCTGTACTGCAACAAACAAACAAACAGAACTATTTGGAACCTTCATTGTGAAGTCCCTGGGATGATCTTACGGGGACGGTAGCCACAGGCCATTTGCCTGGACGCTGCTCATGGTCTCTGATCTTGCCATAGTCTTCTGGGCAGATCCGTAGCAATGCCATGGTTGCTCGAGCCTTGTGTTTACCGGGATTTGTCTGCTCCTTCAGCCTGGAATGATTTGTGCATGGTCTCACCTGTCAGCGCCTCTGCTGCGGGCAGCTTAACCTTGGCGTTTCCTCACGTCTGCTGGTCTGTTCCTCTTGGTCACAAGTGGACAGCTCGCTCCTCTCCCGTAGTGTGCGAGCTGCCCTTCCCTGCCTGGCCACGGGGCTTTCTCCCTTAAAAAGTCCTTTTCCTATTGTCCTCTGGTGTTGTTTTTGTCTGGAGAGAATTTCTATTTGGTTTCCCTTTTTTTAAATCCATTTTTCCTCTTCCCGTCGACCTCCTAACAGGGCGGCCGTGTGGGTGCGTTTCTTTGGTGCGAGAGGCTTTCGGATTTCCTCCTCCCCTGGCTCCTGTTTCGCTCTCCACGCTCACCTCTTTCTGTCCTTCCCCGGCCCAGGACTGGGAACTGAATTCGGGTCCTGCGCACCCTAGGCCAGCATTCTACCCCTGAGCTCCATCCCACGCCTTTTTACTGCTTAACTTTAAGCGAGGCCTCACCAAGTCTCCCATGCTGGCCTCCACCTTGTAAACTTCCTGCCTCAGCCTCCCAAGTAGCTGAGATTCCAGGCGAGTGCCGGGAAGACTTACATCTTGTGAATCTGGGTTATACGTGTGTTCCCGGGAACTTTAAAGACCCCATTGTCTATTTAGAGTTCAGGGTTACTCCAGAGAAGCCTCTTGCCAGGCTGACCTCTGTCCCATTGAAAGTGACCTGTTTGTTTCATCAGGGAAAACTTCCCGGATTACCCTTCCATTCTGGGAAGACTGAAAATTCACGGCAACAGGTCACTGGGGAGGACACGGTGGAAAGGAACTCCAAAGCGAGCTTAATCTCACGAACGCACTGCAGATGCCATCAGAGAGGCCACCTCTTTCAGTGACTTTCGTTTGGTCTTTTTTTGTTTTGTTTTGCTTTGCTTTTGTCCTACAAACACTTTATTGCAAACTTAGCAGAAACAGAAAGCCCAGATGCCCCAGGTCAGGCCCAGCCCGGGTGCAGGGTGAACTCCTTGCATTGGCTGCAGTCAGACAGGTGCGCCCGGCTTCCAGCTGCTTGCGGGCACAGATCAGCCCCGCTGGAGTGGGGGACGAGGCTGCTCTCCTTGCCCTGGATCTTGGCCTTGACATTCTCAGTGGTGCCGCTGGGCTCCACCACAAGGGTGAGGGTCTTCACGAAGCTCTGCATCCCACCCCTCACATGGAGCGCCAGGTGCAGGGTGGACTCCTTCTGGAGGTCGTAGTTGAAAATCTCCAGCTGCTTACAGACTACGACATCCAGAAAACAACATCATGGGGGAAAAAGTGGTTCTTCATTTTCACTTAGTGGGTTGTTGTCTTTCAAAAGATGTGTGAAATTTTCTTCTATTTCCAATTGTTTCTGCAAACAACAGACTTTTTTCGTCTCACATAAGAAACGTGCAGAGGTGGTAACCTCAGGCTCATGTGGTTGCTTTAAAATGATGAGAACAATTCAGTCTCCTCTCCTTCCTTTGCATATAGCATCTTTCCTCAAGGCAACCATATAGTCCCAAAATGGCTGTTTGTGTGCCAGCCATCACCAATAAGTTGCAGGCTGGAGGAAGGAGAAAGGCAAAAGGGCAAAAATAAGCCCTTCTTTCTCATCTGAGTCAATTCCTGTTAAGCAGCCTTGGTTGGAAGTCACATGCTGCTTCTACGACATCTTCTTGGATAACATTTAGTCATAGGACTGTACCTAGCGCAGGATAGGGTATGAGATACAACCTTTTAGTCTGGGTTAAGATAAGCCTGGCTAAACTTGGGCTCTTGTCAATGAGGACGGGAACTGCTGGCAGCTGATGCTGCTGTCACACGTGCTCTTAACCTCCTGTCCTCTGCTTGTGGGCACTGGGATTCTTGGATCTCTTTCTAGGTCTCAATATTGCTCTAAAATTTCTGGTCCCTTTGCCCATCTGCTCTGTGGTGACTGTCGTGAGAGGTCAGTGGTGGTGTCCGCTCTGTCCTGTGGCCCATTACTAAGTTGATTTTTTAAAGGCATGGGCCCCCTACCTTTAAATTCTGCTCTTTCATTCTTTGCACAACAAAAGCCAAGGATGTAGCGCTCTGCACCTGCCACTGTGGACGGTCCCACCATGCGATGTGACCGAGGACCTGTCACTCAGCATCCTTCCAACTCCAGGACTCCGACGTAGCCATCCCCACTATTCATGTCTGTAAGGGTTTTGAGTAGAGCTTGGCTTATGGTAAAAGTATGCCAGCCACCAGCCACGTACGGTGTCACACAGCCATAATCCCAGGCTTTGGGAGGCCGAGGCAGGAGGATTCCATCAAGTTCAAGGCCAACATGAGCTACCTAAGGAGATTCTGTATCAAAAAAAAAAAAAAAAAGTCAGCCACTTACATGGATTCTCTGTATGAATATAAGCATTCTGCTGGTGTCCTTGGATATGAGCCTGTGTTCGTCTTTTACTGTGGAAGATAGTGAGCTGCTCTCCTCAACTTTGGTCTCTGAGCTGGGTCCACAAAGGTCCTAACACTGAAACTTGATTCCCAAAGAGGATTTGGAGGCGGAGCCTCTGGCAAGGGGTGGCTCCCAAGGACTGGGCCCCTTGGGAGTGGATTAGCAGTTGACAGCAGAGGCCTGGGTTCTCCCTTGTCCCTCGATCCCCACTGGAATTACAGTGAGGAGCACGCGCACCAGCACACCAGGTACTGAGCCGGCCAGCACCCCAGCCTTGGACTCCCCTCCCGAAACCGTGAGGAGCAAATTTCTGCTGTGGGTGGGGACCTCTGTGGTGTGAAGGGTCCCTCGGTCTCACTGTTCACATTTGCTTCTTCACATTTGAGGGATGGTATGGATGGCAGTTTTGCTCTTCTGTTAGCATTTTAGCTGTGTGTTCCATTATTGTGTACTGTTTAGTAAGTCCTCCTTTACCGTGCAGGGGATTCCTGGGTGAAGCAGAATTATTTCCAGCAAGTGTGTGCACAGATGATAGGCAGTTAGATAGATAGATAGATAGATAGATAGATAGATAGATAGATAGATGCATAGATAGGTAGGTAGGTAGGTAGACAGACAGACAGACAGATGCATAAGTAAGTAGATAGGTAGATGCATAGGTAGGTACATAGATAGACAGATGATAGATAGACAGATGCATAGGAAGGTGCATAGGTAAACACATAGACAGACACATGGTCACATGGACAGCTGAGTTCCCATGGTACTTCCCAGGGCAGGACATAATGACAAAGAGGAAATCCCCTGCCTATGGGAAAGGGGAACCAACAGACAGAGAAGGACAGACAGAGAATGTCAGGGGAGATGTGAGGTGAGTGGGGCAGCCCGGGACAGCACCGGGCCCCAGGGTGTATGCGCTTGTGAGACAGGGAGGAGAGTAATACCACCGAGCCTCCGAGCCTCCCCCTCCCCGTCACCTGGAGACTCCCGCCTACTCCCCCAGGGAGGCTGGTTCCCATCAACCCAGCTTCCCTCTCAGGGGCTGTCATCTTGGGGCGCTGCGTGGTGCTACTAGAGGCCTGCAGCCCGTCTCCCCCGCCACCTTGCTTGGGAGACAGTCTCGAAACGTTCGGAGTGACACCAGGGTCTGGCCCTGTGACACAGGCTAGGCCTTGGGTGTCTCCCACTAACCCATCCTTCCGCAGGCCCCGAGGAGCAGAGCCGTGGGACCACAAGGGCCGGTGACCTGAGTGTGGCCCAGACCCCAGCCCCGCAGCAATGGGAGACTGCAGGGCAGTGAGGATGCCCCTCTGTCCATAGCCAGGGCCCCCCAGCCACCCACCTGCAGGTCCAGAGCCCACCAGGAGATGGCGCCGCGCCCAGGACTGCTCCTCATGGCCCTGCTGCTTCTGTGCAGGGGGCCCAGGGTGGAAGGCTCAGAGGGTGAGTCTGAGGCTCCTCCCCCTCACCCCCCACCTCACTCCTGACCCCGCCAAGTCAGCCCCTGGACCCCGGAAGCTCCTGGACACCTGCAGCTCTTCCTCCCTGTGTCGCCCCCTCTTTCCTTCAGGCTGGTCACCTGGGTCTTCTTCGGGTTCCCATACACCCTGCTCACCCTTCCCTGGCCCCTGCGAGCAGGACCGAGTCCCTCCTGCCCACCTCACTGTGACACTTGAGGTGCCCACCTCCTGGGGGTCTACTCTGCTTCCTGGAGGCCTCTGGACCCCATTGCTGGTCTTGGCCTGAAGCTTCCTCTGCAGCAGACTGTGCGTCTGGTCGTCCTGGGGTGCTCCTGGGCCTCCAGAGACAAAAGGGACCCTCTCAGTGCCCTCAGACACTGGCTTCTGTCACCACCTCAAGAATGACAGTCCCTTTTCCTAGCCCAGGCCAGACAGGCAGAGGACAGAGAGCAGCCCAAGGGTGGGCCTGGTGGGGCCTCTCCTGCGGGGGTGGCACCTGAGGTATGGGGGTGGGGTGGGGCTGTGCTGATACGTGTCCCCTCCCCAGGGTACCTGCCCCCGGGGCCAGCACACAGGGCCCAGTAATGGCCGGGGGATCAGCTGTGCTTCTGTGGGGCAGGGATCCTCGGCCAGATCCCCTGGCGAGCCGCCCCATTCAGGGCTCTGCAGGAACCAGGTCCCCTCCCCAGGGCTGTGCACCCTGGAGATGCATGGGGGGGGTGACAGGGGCCGGAGGGGAGGGTGACCCTCCTGCTTCTCCTGCAGACACTGTCCCGCTGCAGACCCTGCGCTGCTACAATGACTACACCAGCCGCATCGTGTGCAGCTGGGCGGCGGAGGCGGCCGCCGAGCAGCTCATCAATGTGACCCTCCATCGCCATCGCAGGTTGTTAAAATCGTGAGTGAAGAGGATGGGGTCTGGGGGTGCTGCTCTGTGTGCAGGATACCTGGCATGGAGCTGCAGGGGGCACAGGGACAGGCAGATGCTGGGATCCTGGGACACGAAGGGCCCTGCCGCTCCAGAGGGGGACAGTCTCCCCACACTGCCACCGTTTCACACGTTTCCCTGTGGCTGAGTTCATGCTCCCTGGCTGGCAGCAGGAAGGACCGGATGTCCAGGCCACAGGCAGGACCCACAGGTGACCAAGGAGCTGCAGTGGCTCTGTCCTGCCTTGCCGGGGTCATCACCACTGCCTCTTCAAGGCTGCCTGTACCCCCCACCTCTTCAGTCTGTCCTCCCTGGACTCACTCTCAGGCCACCCGAGCCACTCCAAGGTCAGCCCTTTCTCCCTGACCGTGGGCCACACCTGACCAGGAAGGCTACAGTGCCCTTCCTGAAGCTGCCCTTCACCTGACTCCCGGCTTCCACACTTACCAGCTCCCCTCTTCTCTCTCCTGCTTCCTTTCTGTCTCCCCACAGAAGGTGACAGCCCCCCATTTTGGTCCTTGGACCTTCTTTTTTATATCTGTACCTGGTCTTTGAAGATGCCACTCAGACTGTGGGCGGAGACTTCATATGCAAATTCCTAGCACACACTCCCGGTAACCACCAATCAGAGCACTTGCCTCTCTGTGGTCGCTTGGATGTTAGTATCTGGGCCTCTAAATGCCCTACATCCGACTCTGCTGGCACCCAGAGATGCTCCTGCCTCAGGCTTCTCTAGCTCACGCCACAGGGAAGAGACGGCCAGGCGGGCTAAACCCATGGGAGGGCTTATTTGGCTTTCAAACCTACTTTACCGCCTTTCCTTCCCCACCGCAGCACCAATCTACCAGCAAATGCTATCAAATTTATCTTCAGAGTGAGAGGTGGGTGTGGTGGTGCACACCTGTAAGCCCGGCACTCAGGAGGCTGAGGCAGGAGGACTGGTGCAAACTAGAGACCAGCCTGGGCTACAAAGTGAGCTCAGGCCAGCCTGGACTGCACAGTGAGACCCTGTCTCAAAAAGATTAAAAAAAAAAAAAACAACGCAACACACCAGAATGAGAACCTGACCCATGCAGACCCCACCTCCCTGCTCCAAACCGCTGCTTGTCACTTGGTGGATCAGAAGCCACCTGCTGGTCCCACACCGCCACACCCCTCTTCATCAGGGTTCAAAGCCTACACCAAAGCACGGCTTTCCTCTCCTTCGTCCTGAGCCTCTGAGTGTGTACCACAGACTCAGTGGAACCCAAATTCCTTGTGTTATTTGTATTTTTCCAAGTCTGTTTTGCTCACCGCTCGAAAGCCAGTACTCGAGCAGCCCCGAGGAGGGGGGAGGCTCTTGCCAAGAAAGACGGTCAGTGCTGGATGAGAGGGAGAGGGGCGCCAGGGTCACCCTAAGCCCCACAGCCACCGGCCGCCTCCCCGGTCCACGCACCGCTGTTACAGGGAGGTTACTCAACGTTCCAGGTTCTGTAAATGTGGAGGAAAGAAACCGATTGGTACATGTTATGACTCATGTCCTTTTGGTTTCTTTTCTTAGTAATCGGTAGCCTTACAGTTTATGACACAGACCCTGGGAGGAAAGCAGAAGGCGACTTTGCCAGAATTTTCGTGTTAGGTGGCTTCAGTTAGGGATCCTCTGCAGAAAAGCTAGCGGCCAACTAGTAATAGCTTGCTCAGCTCTTTGACATCTTCAGTTAGAGAAATGAAAAATCAACTAAAGGGCAGAAAGGTGAAAGGCTTTCTTTAGGTTTTCTCTTGGTTAACTTAATTTCTTCCAAGCTCCACAGGATCAGTCTGACTCCTTAATCTCCTAGACCTCCCGCCTGCATGCTGGTTGAATGGTGCCACTTCTACCGGCGCCAGCCCCAGGGACTTTGCACTTGTCCGGCATTTCTGAAAATCCCCTTTCACTAAAATTTGGACAATCTCTCCCTATGTCCTTAGACACACTTCCCACATGTCACTTCTCAGGGAGGCTTTCCTGTCCCCTCTTTCACACTGCATTCTGCACCCCAACGCCTGGCTTCATCCTCCTCCTCCTCCTCCTCCTGCATGGCCACATGGTTTTCTCCTACTATAGACAGTGGTCAAAATACACGGAAAGGATGAATATTTTAAAAAATTTTACTGCACAACAGAGTACAAATCCTCTTCAAAAACTCCCTTGTGTGTCACGTATGAGTGTCTCCAGGGAATGAACTGTGCCTGCCACCCAGGATGCCAGCTCTGGAGGTGGGCACCTGCCCGTGTGGCGGGTCCACTGCCAGTGCGTGAGCCTGACTGTGGGTCCCACTCACTGAACATGATGGACGGGTGAGTCTTACTCCTGAACCAACCGACCCCATGTCCTCTCCCCACAGGAACCATTCCGAGGCGGTGTCCTGCGAGCTCACTGAGGACATGCCCTGGTCACACTGCCCGTCTTCTCCTTGTGTGCCTAGAAGATGCGTCATTCCCTACACTGCCTTCGCCCTGGCTGATAATGACTACTACTCATTCGAGCCAGACCGGCCTCTGGACATCAGGCTCACTGTGACGCTGGCCCAGCATGGTGAGAGCTGGTGCCCCTGCCAGGGCTGAGTCCCTGCAGAGACAGCGGGGACCAGGGACAGCAGGGCTAGGGCAGAAGGACCAGGCAGTGAGTGGCCGAGGGGTGGAGACACTGTCCTGGATAAGTGTCCTGTGATGGAGCCATTAGAGCAGGTGTGACAGGAGAGCCACAGCCAGGCTGCCTGCCCTGCCCGGCTGCTGCCGCCACCACCCAGCCCCCAGACCCCACCCTGACAGCTTCCCCCCAGGGAGCCCGGCCACAGGTTCACGTGGAAGCTGAGTGGCCACGGGCCTCTCATTCCTGCCATGATGCCTTGGTGGTGAGGCCCGTGAGGGCCAGCGGGGTTCCCAGGCCTGGCCACCATCACAGGTCCAGCCCTTCCTGCCCTTCAGACACCAAGCTGTCACCTCCCTAGGCCCAGGGGTGCACTGGGCTCTCGGAGGCCAGGACACCAGCAGGGTTGGCTGGGTGCGCACGGCCATCGGCAGGGCGAGGGCTGCGTGTGCTCCCGGTGGCAGGAGGAGCGGCCGGCCCTTCACTCGCTGGCCTCCAGGCAAGGCTGTTCCGTGAGGCTGGGGGGAGAGGGGTTCCTGTGAGAAAGGTTTGGGTGCCAGGCCAAGCCCGTGTGTGCGGCTGGTGTTGGGGGAGACCGCGACTGTTGTCCTCTTCTCCAAACAGCATCAGAGAGGTGCCCCCGTCACTGCCTTTCAGCTTCACCCCAGCCTTTTGCCCGAGGCCTCCCTGGTGGCCCAGGCAGATCTGTTCCCACCTCAGATCCCGCCCTGGTCCTCAGCTCCTGGCATCGACCTGGGATGCTCTGCTCAACCTCTTGCGTCGGCCACGGCCTGGGGAAGCTGCGGCCTGGACAGGGCAGGGGTTTGACCCCTCTGAGACAAGCTGCTCTTCTGGGATGAGGGGGGTCCTCCCCAGGAGCCAGAGCTGCAGCCTGGAGCCCAGGAAACACCAGACACTGTCCTGTGTGCTGCGTGCGGGGGGCAGCGGGCCTGGGCCATCGGGCAGGCTTCCCAGAAGGAAGGAAGCAGCTTTGCTGCTGAACACTGAAGGCCCTGGAGGAGCACGGGGAGGGAGGCGCCTTCCTGGCAGGGTGGTGGTGCGTGCAAGGGCCAGGAGGCTGGGCGGGCAGCATGCTGGGAAGACCCTGTCACGGTTCCCATGCTGGACAATGGAAGGAAGAAGTGGGGCACAGGCAGGGCCTGAAGCAGAACACTACTCTGCCCTGCAAGATGACAGAGAGCCTCTGACGCGGTGGGATACAACTGGGTGATGGTGTGAGGATGCTGGGGGTGGGCACTGGGCACACGATAACGTAAGCAGTGGTGCCGGGAAGGATGGCGTCCAGAATGTGGCCAAAGGCACGAGGCACCAAGAGAAATGACAAAGTCTGAGCGGGCTGTGGCTGGGGCTGGGGACCAGGGAAGATGCAGTCCCAGGTGGGCTTGCTGGCTTACACAGCACCTGCATGGGCCAAGAGGGCAGGGGGAAAGCGCTCAGCAGGCAGACCACAGCGTCCTCGGGGCCTGGACATGACAAAGCGGCAGGTGGAGTCGGGGACAGTGTAGGAGTTGGGGACAGGAGCATATGTTGAACAGAGAAGTCAGCTGGGGTGTAAAGGAAATGGGCACTGGATTGAAGGAGCCAGGATGAGCCAGGGAGGGCACAGAGGTGGCACTGATCTGAACCTCCGGTAGCCAAGATCGTGAGCGTTTCCCTGCCTCCATCGCTTGCTCCGCCTGTGAAATGGGCCAGCAGAATAAAAGAACTGAAGCCCCATTAAAAGGGGGGAGCTGGCCCCGTCCGCCCAGCTGGCAGCAGCTTCCTGGAGCTCTCCGCTGAGCCAGACGCCCACTCCATGTCGGGCCCGGGCTAGGGATGCTGGGATTCATGGGCGATGCCTGTCCTGGCGGGGAGGGCAGAGGTGGCAGCTTGCTGTGCACCTGCCATCATGGTGAATGGCCCCCGTGGGGCTCTAGCTGGGACCTGCTCTAACCCCCACGTACCGAGACCAGCATAGGACGCTCACGTGCTGCTGTAGGATGCTCTGGGTGTGCGAGTCATGCCCAGCAACAGGACAGAGAAGCTCCGGAGCTCAAAGCCACGGCTGGGGAGTGCAGCCTCTGTAGGAGCCCAGGAGGTCCCAGCAGGGTGACTGAGCGGTGGACAGTGACACCTGGGAGCCCCAGGACTGCACATGCCAGCAACCCTCCATTCTTGCCTTCCTTCCTTCCTTCCTTCCTTCCTTCCTTCCTTCCTTCCTTCCTTCCTTCAATTCTCCTTTCCCCCCTTCCCCTCTCACCAAGCAGCTGCACGTCAGGCCTGAAGACAGGAAAGGACGGCAAGAGCCTCCCCAAGCCTCTCCTTTACCAAGGGGGCAACATGGAAACCACAAACCCTTCCGGCACCAGGGATCGTGGTTCGGGCTTAGAAGGAGGGAAGAGCAGGGACAAGGAGCAGGGATCCCAGAGGCTCCTAGAGGGGAGACACTGATGCTCATCAGGGGCCCTGGCTGGGACCTGGAGGTGGGAGAGGGGGCAGCAGGAGAGGGAGGCGTGTGACCGCAGTGCCCTCTGCTGGGCAGGAGGCGGCACTGCGGGCTGGGAGGGGAGGCTCCACAGAGAGCTGAGTCCCAGCCTCTGCAGCTGTCACTGTTGTCACAGTCCAGCACACAGTGCTCAGGTGGGGTCCCCAGGCTGCACAGCGAGGGTCCTGCTCACGGTCCTCAGCTGCAGGGCAGCGCTGGTCCAGGGACCTGTGTGTGTCCCCCTCAGACAGCAGGCCGCGTGTCCCCATGGGCAGCCTCACAGGCCCTTTGCTTCCTGTCCCTACAGTGCAGCCACCTCCGCCCCAGGACGTCCAGATCAACACCTCTGGGGACCAAGTCTTGCTGACCTGGAGTGTGGCCCTTGAGGGTCCCCACACGTCCTGGCTGTCGCAGAGGGACCTGGAGTTTGAAGTGGTCTACAAAAGGCTTCATGAGCCCTGGGAGGTAGGACCTGCACTCAGCTGTGCCCAGCCCCGAGGGACACATGGGCAGTACCCCCCACAATGTCCCCTCTCTCCTCAGAGTGCCAGCACCCTGCACTCCAACTCCTCCCAGGCGGCCCTGGGGCCCGAGCTCTTCCTGCCCAGCAGCACCTACGTGGCCCGAGTGCGGACCCGGCTGGCCCGGGGCTCCGGCTTCTCGGGAAGGCCCAGCCAGTGGAGCCCCGAGGTGAGCTGGAGCTCGCAGCCAGGTAAGGGATGCGGATGGACCTGTGCCCCTGGGCAGGGCAGCTCCTTAAGGTCCTGTGTGGGGATTCTGAGGCCACACTGGTGGCCTTCCAAGCTGGGGTGCTGCATGTGCTCCCCAGCACTGGGGACCTCTGCCCCGTCAGACTCCAGGTCTGATGACCATTCCGGGTCAGCTCCTGCGAGGTTCTACTGATGACAGCTGCAGTCATCACAGCAGCTGCATCACCAGCCACCATGCATCATGAGGGCTTCACTCATGAAGACCGTGCCATCCTTGGGGACAGATTCCTGGAGCTGTGGGCACAAGGACTGCAGGGCCATAGTGTGGGCGGCATCTGATCACATTATCCCCAAGCTCGTGGTCTCCCTGTGGTGGTCACAGGCTGTCCCCGCAGCCATGGTGTGAGGGAGGGGAGTGACCAAGGGCTGTCTCCACACAGGGGACCAGGCCCAGCCCCAGAACCTGCAGTGCGTCTTCGATGGGGCCCACACGCTCAGCTGCTCCTGGGAGGTGAGGTCGCAGGTGACCAGCTCGGTCTCCTTTGGCCTCTTCTACAGATCCAGCCTGGATGCAGGGTGAGTGTCCCTTTTCTGTCCCTCCCTGCTCTGGGCTTGTCGTGCCCACGCCTCCTCCTATCCCCAGAGCCCTGGCAGCAGCCCCTGCCCAGCTCAGGTCTCGGACCTCCATGGTGACCCTGCTCCCTGACCCCAACTGTGTGCTCCTCAGGGAGCAGGAATGTCCCCAGGTGCAGAAGGAGGAGCTCCATGACATCTATACCCGACACTCTTGCCAGATTCGGGTGTCCAACCCCAGGCCTCACAGCCAGTACACTGTGACCGTGCGTCCGCGGAATGGGGAGAAATTCATAAGGAGCGCAAACCACAGTGAGTCCGTCCTGCTTCCCCGTGGGCTGTCTCCTGTCACCCAGGAGACCTAGGCCTCCTCCAGCCCCGGTGCTTCTGTCACTTTCAAAGGAAATCAGAGCAGTGACTGAAAGTGAACAGATTCTTCTTGTGTTCTACACAAGTTCTTTAGGAGCAATGGTTTGTAGAGACTCTGAGTAAGGACGGAAAGACTGACCCCACCGAGACCAGGTCATTAAATCAAGTTCTGTGTCCTTCCCGAGACCTCCTCTCCTGCTGTAGCTACTGCACAGGACACCCTCTAGATTCCCCCTCCATTCTTTTTCCCTGACTGAATTCTTCCTTTACTGATTCCCTAGCCATCCTCTGACTAACATCCTCATTTTTCTAAATATTGACATACGATTCACTTTTCCACTGGGTCCAGGTGTGTTCATGTAGACTGCAGATCCCTGCAGGTCAGTGTCACTCATTTTCTTTAGGTAGCAAGGACCCAAGTGCAAGGGACCTGCCCGGGCACGGGGCTCCTGTGGCCACGCTCTTCTACCTGTGCTTCGGTGCTCGCCACAGGCAGAGACCCATGCAACACTCGTGCTATTGGGCGTCCCTCCCAGGAAAGGAGCTTCCTGGAATTCAAGGGCCCAGAGGGCCTAGATTGATGCCTGGGACAAAGGACACCTCGCAGTGTTTCATAAAAGGCCTGTGATGTCATCAAGATTAGGAGTTTTCTTTTTTTCTTCCTTGCATTTTCTTTCTTTATTTTGGAACTGAGAATCAAACTCAAGACCTCGCACTTGCCAGGCAGGCACCAGGCCACCGAGCTGTACCCCTGACCTCAAGCATTCATCCTTTTCAGTGTGACCCATAGACTGAGGCTCAGAGGGGTTGGGTGGGTGACATAAAATTCCCCGTCCTGGGGGGTGACTCAAGGCGGGAATGCAGAACTTCTGATCCACACCCACTTCCTGCTGTCTCGGGCCTTTGCATTTTTCACTTTATGGACTGAAAAGATCGCGTGGGAGGAGCTGTCCCAAAGGGGCTTCACCTGTTGTCTGGTCACCACCCAGTGGGCGAGCAGGTCACACGAGGTGGTTGAGGGCTGCCTGCTGCGATCTGGCAGCTTTTGGGACAGTGAGAGCCATCTCTGGTGCTCTGGGCAGGGTACCCCAGATAGATGACCTCGGGGACTCTGAGCAGCTGGGAGGAGTAACGGGACTGCAGAGCCACGCTGCTGGGTGTCACATGTGCTAGGACAGGGTCGATAGTCTAGAATGAACCCACACATGCTGACCGTACTTAGACACCAGGGGGAAGCTGAGCCACAGAGGGACAGGACATGACAGGGGACAAAGCTTTCCCTGGAGCGCGGAGGGCAGGACCACCCCTAAAAGTCTCCCTCCCTCCAGTCCAGATGGCAGCCCCAACCCTCAATGTGACCAAGGATGGTGACACCTACAGCCTGCGTTGGGTGACCGAGAAAATGTACTATTCCCACATCGAGAACACCTTCGAGATCCAGTACAGGACAGCGGGGGACCGCTGGGAGGTGAGCACCTAACTGGGGCTCTGGGGGGCAGGAAAGGGAGGGGACAGCGAGGCGGGCACCCTGTCACCATGCCAACCAGAGGAGGCCACTCACAGGCAGACATGAGCAGGGCACAGAGAGCCCATCTCTGTGTGGAATCCCTTGGGGTGAAACTGAGGCTCAGAGAGGTGATGTGACCAGGCCACAGGACCACAGCTGAGGCCAAGTTGCAATGGACAGATTACAGGTTAGGTAGGCACCCCTGAGATGAAGTTCCTTCCGAAATCACCAAATCCTAGGGACATTTCCTCTGGGGAGGCGTATCTGCCCCAAGTGTGCAGTCCGTGCAGACCCCAGAGAGCTCACAGGCGACCCGGAGGCTGTGGACAGGTGGTGCAGAGGCAGGAGAGTAAGCAGTGTGGCCCGAGGAGCAGACCAGGCACCCAAGCTCCTGTCTCAGAAGCCAGAGCCTAGTCAACCTGCTCCCCAGTCCTGGATCTGCAGGGATTGGGGTGCACAGACACTTGGGAGGCCGAGGAGTTTCCACCAGGCAGCGGCGGTGGAAGGCCTCTGTGGGGTCTGGTCCCTGCCTCCCCTTCTGTGCTGTCAGAGCGGGAGCCAACCTCACAGGGGACTTGGGAGGTAAGGGAGGGGAGGTACATAGCCAGGCCTCACAGAACAGCCCTGCTCCACAGAACAGCAAGACTGAGACCCTGAAGAACGCCCACAACATGCCCCTGCCACCCCTGGAGCCCGCCACCACCTACCTGGCCAGGGTGAGGGTCAAACCCAGCCCTGGAGGCGCCTACAATGGGATCTGGAGCGAGTGGAGTGAGGAGCAGCGCTGGACCACGGACTGGGGTGGGTCTCCTGGCTCCGCACACCACTCCTGGGCAGGGGGACACCAAGGGGGACACCTGTGCTCTGGAGGGGAGGCTGCCGGCATCACTACACCGCCTTCCCCTCAAGAGTCCCTAGGCCCCAGGGAGTGTCGCTGGTCAGTGCACACTGCAGGCCAGGGTCTCCCCAGCCCGCCCCCTTCACACTGGGCTGAGCCCCCAGGAATGAGGCCTTAGGTTTAGTTAGCTTCAAGGCAGCCACTGCCCAGTGACTGGTCAGCCTGGGTCTCCTGGTCCATGTACCGAAGATATCAGGTGTCCAGCAGCCCTGGGGTGGACCCGGGTGAGACTGGGACGGCCAGTCCTGCCACCTCCGTGCACCTGTGGTCTGAGTGTGCCCCTGGCCTCTCCTCATGCTGGGCACCGCACACACCTACAGTGTGAGGCGCTGGGCGCTTCAGAGCGAGGATGGAGGGGGCGGGGAAGGCACAGGGTCCCAGGCAGCAGGGACAGAGCGGGGCCAGGGAGAGGCCACAGACAGGCAGAATCAGGGCTGGATCTGGGAGCAGGCCACGGGACAGAGCTCGTGGGCCCGGCTGGAGGCTCCTGAGGGCCTTTGCTTGCTGCCGCCTGCCCAGTCCACCTCCCCTGCCCCAGTGCTCCTGCGGCCTGTGGCCCAGGGCCCAGGTTGCCTCCTCAGGACGTCCTGACCCTCCTGTGTCCTGCACTGGAGACCTGTGGGGTCAGACCTGTCCCCTCTCGTCTCCTACCTATGTTCTCCCTACCCAGCCCCCCAGTGCAAGGCCTCCAGACCAGCACAGGCCCACAGGGGCCCTGGGGACCCCACCTCCGCCCACCTTGCCCTCCACCCTAACTGCTCTCTTCCTGCTCCCCCCAGCGCTGCCCACCTGGGTGCTGGCCCTCGTCCTGGTCTTGGTCACCCTGGCCCTGCTGCTGGCCCTGCGCTTCTGTGGCCTCTACGGGTACAGGTGAGGCACCCAGGGATCCCAGGAATGGCACAGCCTGGCTCCCTCCTTTCCTGCCCTCCCTCAGCCCCTGGGCCTCAGTTTCCCCTCTGCACAAGGCACGGGAGCAGCTGGCCCTGAGGGGTCTGGTGACTGTCCCCTCCCTGGTGTGTTCCAGGCTGAACAGGAAGTGGAAAGAGAAAATCCCCAACCCCAGCAAGAGCCACCTCTTCAAGGTAGGACCCACATGCGGAGCAGGGCGGGCCTCTGCTTCCGGCTCTGCACACCCCCTTCTGTCTGTTCCCCTGCTGCCTGGTGTTGGGGCCTCGTCCTGGGAGCTGGGGAGCCGGGCAGCTGGAAGTAGGTCCCCGGGGCCCCCTAGGCACCTGAGGAGCACACACCCCGATCCCTGCAGAAGCTCTGCCTGGACCCACACAGAGACCTGAGAAATGGGGCCCCACAGCCAGGCTGAGTCAGGAGGGGCAGCAGCTCCCAGGTGATGGGGTGGTGGGAGCCAGGGCCCCGCAGAGGTGAGGTGACACTGGGGATGCCAGCGTATTGCCAGGATCCCTGTGGGCTGGTGGGCAGCTCGGCCCACTAGGCCTCGCGATCAGTCCTGACCATGGGCATCAGTCCCATGTCCAGGGTCGCTGGATTTCCCCTGGGCTGTCCTCTCCCCGCCACCCCACGGCCCCACTCATAGGCCATGTGTCCTTCTCCTCTAGAATGGAAGCGCTGGGCTCCGGCTCCCAGACAGCAGGATGGCCTTCGCCAGCAGGAGCGCCCCTTCCTGGGGCGTCATGGGTGGCCGCTTCCTTGAGATAGAGGGGTGAGTGTATGTCCCTGTGGAGCAGGTGGGGCTGCCCAGTGTCCTCATAGGGAGCTGGGAGGAGGGGAGTGTGGCTCCCTGGGAAAAGGTCCCAGGAGGTGGCTTTGCACAGAGGATGCCTGGGCTGGACCTAAGGAGGAACATCCTAACTCCCATTTTGAGGAGACAGGCAGGGGACTTGGCCTGAGGAGGGTTTGCCAGCTACCCATTTTATCTCCTCAGAAAGTCCCAGGGTCACCAAGGCCCCAGGAGACCCCTCTGGTGGGAAGTTCTGGCCCTCACTGGAGCCATGTAGGGGACCCTCCCTCCTTCCCTGTTGTTCTGACCGTGTCCTGACTGCACGACCCATATGGAGGGGCCGGGAAGGGATCGAGACTTCCTACTGCTCCCCCTGCCCTGGGCCTCTGCCAGGTGCTCTGCCAGGCAGCCTCTGCAGCTCTGCCTCTGCTCCCCATAGGGTGTGCCCTGCAGATTCCCGGGACAGTGAGGTGTCACCTCTTACCACAGAGGACCCCAAAGTTGTCTGTGATCCTCCATCAGAGCCTCATTCCACTCCAGCCGCCTCGGACCTGACCCAAGAGCAGCCCCCTAGTGTCCAGCCAGGTCCACCAGTCCCCCAAGACCAGCCTGGGGACCAGCTGGCCACCTTTGACTTTAATGGCCCCTACTTGGGGCCGCCCCACAGCCACTCCCTGCCTGACCTCGCAGGCCAGCAAGGGCCCAAGCCCGAACTGCCAGGCTCTCTGGAGTATCTATGTCTCCCCCCAGGGGGACGGGCGCAGCTGGTCCCCCTGGCCCAGGCCACAGGCCAGGCCCAGCCTGCCCCTGGGGAGTGTCTGTCTGGACCTGTCACCCAGGGCAGCCCCTACCTGGAAGCTGGGGGAGGCCCTGCCCCTCCTGCATCTGACCCTGGAAGCCAGGCACAGGGCCCAGGGGACGGCCCAGGGGATAGCCCAGTCATTCTGCCCACAAACTCAGGGGGCCCTGAGCACCCTGTCGTGGCCTCTGGTTATGTCACCACTGCAGACCTGGCACTCACCTTGTCCACAGAGGCCTCCTCTGTCTCCCTGGCTCCCCCTCCAGACCTCTGCCCAGGGCTGTCTGATGAGGCCCCTGCAGCCCCCACACCTGGGAAGCCACGCTTTGAGGGCTACGTGGAGCTCCCTGCAAGCATGGGGCCATTGCCCAAGTCCTTTCTGGGCGGTTTTGTCCCTCCTGCACCCAGCAGCCCTGTTCTGAGCCCAGGGACTCCCCAGGGTGATGTGTCCCCGCTATCTCCAGCCCCTGAGGGGCTGCTTGTCCTGCAGCAGGTAGGGGACTACTGCTTCCTGCCTGGCCTAGGATCTGGTCCCCTCTCACCTCGGAGCAAGCCGTCCTCCCCGGTACCCTGTCCAGAAATCATGGACATAGAGCAGGGTTTCCCAGTCAAGAAACCCCCAGGCCAGCCTATGCCTCAGGTGCCTGCTATTCAGTTCTTCAAGTCCCTGAAGCAGCAGGACTACCTGACACTGCCCCCCTGGGAGGTCAGCAGGCCCCATGAGGTGTGCTGAGGACACCACATCCTTCGCTGCACCTGTCACCTCCCCAGAGCCCTGGGGCATCACGCTGACACAGACGGGCCTGCGGAGCCCTCCACACTCCGGGCCTCCTGGACAGACTTTCAGCAAATCATTTCGCCCACTCCTCTGACACACACGCACGCACGCACACACATGCACCTTTCTCTGGGTTATTTCTAGATTTCAAGTCTTTAGTGCTTTCTGTCCACAGCCACCCACCTTCCTCTCATCTTGTCTTTTTGGGCTCCCCACCTTCGTTCTGTCTTCTCCACTTTGTTGCTGATTCATTCGGGAATGAGGTTGGGTCCCAGGGAGCCTGTTCTGAGTGTGTGACTTATCCGGGTGTCGCAGGGCTCTCCGGTGGGCAGCCTGTGCTCTGTGGGCTCCTGGGCACAGCGTGTGCTTCTGGGGCAGCTGCAGGAGGGCTCAGGGCATCTCAGACTTTGATACAGAGCAGAAGCTCACCTACAGTCTCGATCCTCAGCTGTCATTCCAGGAAATGGCCATGGTGTGTAACAGCTGTCACACATTGCTGGAGAGCTCTCTGTTGGTCTCCACAGACATGACTCAGGGGTCTCAGGGTGCCCCCACTATAGAGAGAAGTCACTGATCTGGGCAATGCCACATGGCCCTGAAGTGTGGCTTAGGCTAGTGGGACAGTGGGGACTTCAGCAAGGGTCGGCTGTATCAGCTCTGCAGAAGTTGCAAAAATTGCTACATTGCGGACCAAAGGAGAACACTCAGAAGACACACGCTTTAAAGTACCTGGTGGGGTGGCCCTGCTGCTCCCCGTGCAGGAGGCTGCAGCTCTGGCTTCCTGGCCACAGACCTGGGCCTGCCCTGGAGATTAGGGTTCTTGGAAATCTCTGCCTTTTTGATACACAAAAATGATGGCATTACATTGTTTTACCTTCCACTATCCGAGCATTATCCAGCGGGCTCATGCGTTCATATGGAACTTGCACATCTTTTTTAAACAGGGCTGAAGCCCATTAAGTTCTTTGGTTAGACGTTATCTTTGTCTGATAAAGTTTTTTAAGGTATTTTAAGTGTGGCCGTTCATAATGGTGCGAAGTTGTTTCTTAAAGTTCATTGTTTGTCTTACACGCTTTGTACAAGTGACATTTTGAGTCCTTGATGTTTACAGGCCTGTGCTGTCATGAGATGAGTCCCTGGGCCACTTCTCTAACCTGGGGACCAAATCTATAAATGCCTTCTCTAGAGCCAAGTGGAATTTGTCCTTATTTATATTTTTCTAGTTCCTCTTCTGCATCAAGATTTTCGTGTAAAATTTTAATTAATTTGGAACACAGGGGCCCTCTCTCCATGCCTTCCCCAAACACAGATCAGGTGACCCACAGCAGGTGCCAAATCGTCTGCTCCTTGTCCCTGGACCCGAAAGGCCACTTCTGTGATACAGAAAGTCCCCATCTGAGCTTCATTCTTTTCTAGAGGTCCTTTCTCGACTGTCCTGATTGCTCCAGCTTTATAACATTTGAAGAAGCATCAGGGTCAGGAGTCTGGTTACCTCATATTCCCCAGCCCTTGTTCATACAACAGTGTTTGTGGTCCAAGAAAATCATAAATATCCTAAATGTTTGTCAATAGCGAAATCCATGACAGTGGCAGAAACTTCTGTGGAAATGGAGATGGACCATCCCAGATAGCAGAAAGAGGTTCAAGACATTCATTCCCAAACATCCGGGCATTGTTCAGAGGGAAAAATTGCAATAAAATGTTTGTACTATAAAACAAGACCAGCCTTGAGCTTGTGTGTCCGTGGAGGGGTAGGGTAGAGGGGTGCCGATTGAAAGCCCCGATTCTGTAAGATGGGAGGACCCGTGGCTCTGTGGCAAGGGGTCAACGAGGGGCCTGAGCAGGGCCTCGGGGCATCACAGGTGGCGTAGCAGACGGGGCACTGCCGAGAGAGGGAGGCTGCGGACAGGAGAATGGGAGGCAGGAAATCCAGGAGACAGTGAAGGACATTCTTGTTACATTTTTTTAAAAATCACTGTTGTGTGAAGTTCACCTGGAACTCGGCATCCTCCATGTGACCTCCACTCAACAGAATGGAGAGTGGGTAAAAGAACGGATTGCCCTTAAAAACAGCCCAGAACCGCTGAAAGCTATTTCTACACACCCGCTCAAGTGCTTTCCCAGTGGTCGATACTTAGAGGATTGAGTTGTTTCGGTGACTGTCTTTACTATACCCATTTTTGGTCCTCAAGGAAACTGAGGCACAGAGAGGTTATACAACTTGCCCCCAGGTCAACCAACCAGTTGGGGGCAGTGGCAGGATTCAAACCCTGGCTTTGGCCTGGGAAGCCGCATTTGTAAGCGATGTCTTCCTCCTGAAGATCCACACGTGGGTGGGAAATAACCCTCATGGGTTGGCAGACAAGAGAAATCCAGAAACTGAGTTCAGGTCGCACAAGGGGAGGTAGAGTCAGCGGTGCCCAGGAGCTGAATAACAGGGTGTGTGTTGCCCCAAGGGACCTCTCCTGCAGCCCAGAGCGGCACGCAGCAGGGAGCACGGGAGCACTGAGGAACTGCCACAGGTCCAGGTGTCCAGGCAGCTGGGGAGGACTTCTGGGGACCGGAGAGAAGGGGTGAAATAAACCTGGGCAGGGAAGCCTTCAGGCCATCCCAGCCTCCCAGGGCGCCTGCCAGCTGCAGCAGACTCGGGAAACAAGAATTGCTGACTGGAAGGGCCCCCACAAGGGACAGACAGGAGCAGAGGCTGGGCTCCTCGGGACGCCTGTCTCTGGCCATGGAGCCCTGAGAAGGCGCATCACAGAAGGAAGGAGACAGTGCTGGATGCTGTGAGCAGCTGGGCGCCCGAAGGCTCTAAGCCTCTTGTGGATTAATTTGTTACCCAGAATCACCACTGTGAGCAGATCATGCACCCCCAGAGGGAACCTCCCCTTTACCTCCAAACCTTCCCCTCCCAGCCACAACCAAGGCAGCGAAATAGGGCAAAGTGAGGGTACTGAGCAGACGCAAGTTCTCCAGGACCCCAGTCACCTCACAAGTCGCAGCTCACAAGGGGGTTGGTATGAATGCCCCAGAGGACACTTTTAGAGGGCCCGAGAGGGCGGAAACGACTGATGCTTATATAGCAGCAGCAGGCCTGTGATTGGCCTAAATCGGAGCCTCCTGATTGTCCAAAGTGATCCACCTCAATCCTTCTGATCTGAGCTTACTGAGTGGTCCAAATTGTTTCAATTAGTCTAAATCCCAGCCTGCAGCAATCAGTACACTTGTGGGGTGCGCAGGACCGCCAGGGCTGTCATGGTGCTGTTTGGCGGAATGTTGGGAGACTTGAGCAGCATTTGGAAACTGTTGTGTTGCCACAGGAAATGCTGGGGCCGAATCTGGGGAAACTTCAGAGAGCCTGGCTGTGCTAACCGCAGCTCACTGGGGTTTGAGTTATTGGACTACTGTTGATGTTAATAATGGGCCGGGGTTGAGATGGCAATGTTAATGCTCACAATGGACCTGTATCCTCCCTGACCTCTGCCAGGTTAGAGTTTATTCCCCCACCGCCTCTTCAGAATGGGGAGCGGTGTGCGGAGCAGGAGGCAGCACTGTAGCTGGCAGCCAGGCTGCCGCTCCTGTCAGAGCCGACCATGAGGCAACCAAAGTTACCAGAGGGGCAGAAGGAGGACACTGAGGCAAGCTGTCCCACTCCCTTCTCGGGGACCACGGGGGAGAGAAGGAAGTCAGGGCGGGGGCACAGGGCAGCTGTTGGCCCAGCCACACCCCCTCTGCTGACCCAGGAAAAGGGGGAGGAGCAGCTGTCTCAAGACAGAGCCACGGCTGTGTGCACACAGCTGTTGGCCTCTTGGGACTGTGGGAACACGGGCTCGGGCAGGAAAGGGGTGTGGGGTGGTGACGTTGTTAGGCCCTGAAACGGGGCCCTCAGGCAGCCCTAAGCAGAAGGCTCAAGGAAGGGAGGCTTCAGCTTCCACAGGGCCAGAGATGCCAGAGAAAGTCTTAACCATCATCATAAATAATCAATAAGAACTTGGGGGGGGGGGCGTTCTGGTCACTTGAATAAGTGCTCTCCAAAAATAAAGACGCACATTAAACAGATTATCCTCATTCATAACAAAGCATATTGAATTAAAGTGAGATGCTATTTTTTCTCCACCAGATTGGTGAAGATTGGAGAAGGGGGGGTCACCAGCACCACCTAGAGTTAGGCAAAGTATGGAGATACAGGATTCTTATGCTACCTCTTGGAAAGACTCTACTTTTTAAAGCACTTTGGGGTTCACGACAATGTTGAGAGGGCTGCAGGGCTTTCACAGGGCCCCCACGACTCCCTCACATGCAAATTGCCCCCCAGCCTGCATCATGGTGATCTTAGCCACTCTGATCCAAGTGTCATGACTTGGGTACTCACACAGAACATTTATTTCCCATAGTTCCTGAGGTTGGGGAGCCAAAGTGCCATCAGATCCAGTGTCTGGGAGACAGGGGGCCCCCTCCCTCTGTCCTCACACAGCAGAATGGATGAGGATCACTGTGAGGTGTCCGAGATAGGGCACCAGCCCCAGTCATGAGGGCGGAGTCCACTCGGGCCTCCTCGTGGTGTGATTAGGATTGGAACACATGCTGTCTGCAGGGACCTGAACATCTGTGACAACTGAGAAACACAGTACCACATCATTGTCACCCAGAATCCACAGGTGACAGCACTGAGCACTCTTGGTGTGGTAGGATGGATGGATTTTAACAAATAAATAATGACACATACCCAGCTTTATCAATAATGCCATAACAGAATGGTGTCACTGTCCTAAGGCAGTCCTCTGTCACCAGGCTCCTGTGAGCCACGATCCAACAGTTTTACCTGTTCCAGTATGGAAACTCTAGGGACTCTCAAAAGGGTGGCCCAGAGCATAGCACCAGCCAATCTGTTGGCTGAGACTCCTGGGAGACACACGAACCAGGAACCTCTGCCAACCTGAGGTCGCCTCTGATGTGTGGTAAAGCATAAGAACCATTGCTCGTGGCCACGATGCCCTGTGGACTCACAGAAAACTCTAGAGAAGAAGCCAGGGTTGGACCTGAGCCCTGGCTCAGGCAGAATGGCAGCCAAATTTCCCCGGCTTGTCATCATTTCAAAGAGCGGTGACGGAGCCCACAATGGCTTCATCACTCAGAAGAAGGATATACCTGACCCCTGAGACAGCTAAGGGGCCGCTTAGCTGAGAGGTGTTAGTCTGAGCTTCCCCTTCCTGGGGCAGAGGGCATAGCCAGAGAGGGAGCTGGCAGGCTCGTGCTGGAGGGGATTCAGGAGTCCCCCACCTGCTGCAGGACAAGCAGCCCCTCAGGGGCTGGAGATAACGGGGACACATCACCCCGGGGAGTCCCTGGGCTCAGAACAGGGCTGCTGGATGCAGGAGGGACAGGACTGCCCAGAAAGGACTTGGGCAATGGCTCCATGCTTGCAGGGAGCTCCACGTAGCCCTCAAAGCCTGGCTTCCCAGGTGTGGGGGCTGCAGGGGTCTCATCAGACAGCCCTGGGCAGAGACCTGGAAAGGGAGCCAGGGGGACAGAGGAAGCCTCTGTGGACAAGGTGAGCGCCAGGTCTGCAGTGGTGACATAATCAGAGGCAACAGCAGGGTGCTCAGGGCCCCAGATCTTGTGGGAAGAATGACTGGGCTGTCCCCTGGGCCATCCTTTGAGCCCTGTCCCTGGCTTCCAGGGTCAGATGCAGGAGGGGCAGGGTCACCCCCAGCTTCCAGGTAGGGGCTGCCCTGGGTGACAGGTCCAGACAGACACTCCCCAGGGGCAGGCTGGGCCTGGCCTGTGGCCTGGGCCAGGGGGACCAGCTGCACCCGTCCCCCGGGGGGCAGGCATAGGTACTCCAGGAGCCTGGCAGTGCTGGCTTGGGCCCTTGCTGGCCTTCGAGGTCAGGCAGGGAACAGCTGTGGGGCGGCCCCAGGTAGGGGCCGTTGAAGTCAAAGGTGGCCAGCTTGTTCCCAGGCCGGCCTTGGGGGGCTGATGGGCCTGGCTGGGCTCTGGGGGCTGCTCTTGGGTCAGGTCTGAGGCGGCCAGAGTAGGACAAGGCTCTGATGGAGGATCACAGACAACTTTGGGGTCCTCTGTGGTAAGAGGTGACACCTCACTGTCCCGGGAATCTGCAGTGCACACCCTGGGGGGAGCAGAGGGGTAAACATTAACAGGACAGTGACTGTGCTGTCCCTCCAGGCTGACAGTAAGGCCACCCTGGGGTGAGGGGCACCAGCTGTCTTCCACACTGAGGGAAGACAGACTGGAGTAAAACCTGCAGGGAGAAGTCAGGGTCACTTCCGTGGCTGTGGGCAGATTTTTCTCATCAGCATCACGGGTGCCAGGACCTGGACCTGGAGGCTGAGAAGTCACAAATGACCCCACTGGGTGACCAAGCTCACTGTACCCCTACAAATGCCATGTGGAGGTATCCAGAAGGCACTGGGAACTGCAGACAACTGGGGGGTCTGCACCCAGTCATGTACATAAGGCAAGGTGGGTACAGAAGAGCAGGATAAGGGAAATCACCTGGGCCAGTCACCTGCCTCAGGCCAGGTCACCTATATGTCCCCTGCCTTGACCTGGGGGTTAGGAAGTTCATGAGCAATCCAGTGCCTCTTGCTTTAGTGCAAAGCCACCTCCTGGGACCTCTTCACAGAGAGCCTCAGGCTCCTCCTCCAGCCCCTCATGAGCACACGGGGCAGCCCCCTGCTCCACAGGGACAGGAGCCCCAGGTCCCACATTCACCTCTCCCATTCAAGGACGAGACTGCCTCTGATGCTCCAGGAAGGAGCGCTCCTGCTAATGAAGGCCATCCTGCTGTCTGGCAGCTGGAGTCCAGCGATTCCATTCTGGAGGAGAAGGACACATGGCCTATGAGTGGGGCCCTGGGGTGGCGGGGAGAGGACAGCCCAGGGGAAATCCAGCGACCCTGGACATGGGACTGATGCCCATGGTCAGGACTGATCGCGAGGCCTAGTGGGCCGAGCTGCCCACCAGCCCACAGGGATCCTGGCAATACGCTGGCATCCCCAGTGTCACCTCACCTCTGCGGGGCCCTGGCTCCCACCACCCCATCACCTGGGAGCTGCTGCCCCTCCTGACTCAGCCTGGCTGTGGGGCCCCATTTCTCAGGTCTCTGTGTGGGTCCAGGCAGAGCTTCTGCAGGGATCGGGGTGTGTGCTCCTCAGGTGCCTAGGGGGCCCCGGGGACCTACTTCCAGCTGCCCGGCTCCCCAGCTCCCAGGACGAGGCCCCAACACCAGGCAGCAGGGGAACAGACAGAAGGGGGTGTGCAGAGCCGGAAGCAGAGGCCCGCCCTGCTCCGCATGTGGGTCCTACCTTGAAGAGGTGGCTCTTGCTGGGGTTGGGGATTTTCTCTTTCACTTCCTGTTCAGCCTGGAACACACCAGGGAGGGGACAGTCACCAGACCCCTCAGGGCCAGCTGCTCCCGTGCCTTGTGCAGAGGGGAAACTGAGGCCCAGGGGCTGAGGGAGGGCAGGAAAGGAGGGAGCCAGGCTGTGCCATTCCTGGGATCCTTGGGTGCCTCACCTGTACCCGTAGAGGCCACAGAAGCGCAGGGCCAGCAGCAGGGCCAGGGTGACCAAGACCAGGACGAGGGCCAGCACCCAGGTGGGCAGCGCTGGGGGGAGCAGGAAGAGAGCAGTTAGGGTGGAGGGCAAGGTGGGCGGAGGTGGGTCCCCAGGGCCCCTGTGGGCCTGTGCTGGTCTGGAGGCCCTGCACTGGGGGGCTGGGTAGGGAGAACATAGGTAGGAGACGAGAGGGGACAGGTCTGACCCCACAGGTCTCCAGTGCAGGACACAGGAGGGTCAGGACGTCCTGAGGAGGCAACCTGGGCCCTGGGCCACAGGCCGCAGGAGCACTGGGGCAGGGGAGGTGGACTGGGCAGGCGGCAGCAAGCAAAGGCCCTCAGGAGCCTCCAGCCGGGCCCACGAGCTCTGTCCCGTGGCCTGCTCCCAGATCCAGCCCTGATTCTGCCTGTCTGTGGCCTCTCCCTGGCCCTGCTCTGTCCCTGCTGCCTGGGACCCTGTGCCTTCCCGCCCCCTCCATCCTCGCTCTGAAGCGCCCAGCGCCTCACACTGTAGGTGTGTGCGGTGCCCAGCATGAGGAGAGGCCAGGGGCACACTCAGACCACAGGTGCACGGAGGTGGCAGGACTGGCCGTCCCAGTCTCACCCGGGTCCACCCCAGGGCTGCTGGACACCTGATATCTTTGGTACATGGACCAGTAGACCCAGGCTGACCAGTCACTGGGCAGTGGCTGCCTTGAAGCTAACTAAACCTAAGGCCTCATTCCTGGGGGCTCAGCCCAGTGTGAAGGGGGCGGGCTGGGGAGACCCTGGCCTGCAGTGTGCACTGACCAGCGACACTCCCTGGGGCCTAGGGACTCTTGAGGGGAAGGCGGTGTAGTGATGCCGGCAGCCTCCCCTCCAGAGCACAGGTGTCCCCCTTGGTGTCCCCCTGCCCAGGAGTGGTGTGCGGAGCCAGGAGACCCACCCCAGTCCGTGGTCCAGCGCTGCTCCTCACTCCACTCGCTCCAGATCCCATTGATGGAATCTTTGGGGATGGGTCTGACCCTCACCCTGGCCAGATAGGTGGTAGCGGGTTCCAGGGGTGGCAGGGGCATGCTGTGGGCGTTCTTCCGTGTCTGAGTCTTGCTGTTCTGTGGGAGCAGGGGCTGAGGCTGAGGCCTGGCTGGGTACGGGGTGCAGGCCTCCCCTCCTTTGTCTCGCTGGTCCCCTATTGGGTCAGCTCAGCCTCTGACAGCACAGGAGGGGAGGCAGGGATCAGACCCCACAGAGGCCTTCCACCTGGCCACCTGTTGGAAACTCCTGTGCCTCTCAGGTATCTGTGCACCCGAATCCCTGCATACCCAGGCTGGGGAGCAGGTTGACAGGGCTGCAATCTGAGATAGGAGCTCAGGTGCCCAGCCTGCTCCTCGGTCCACACTGCTCAGTCTCCTGCCTCCCCACCACCTGTCCTCAACCTCCAGGTCACCTCTGAGCCCTCCTGGGGCTCTGAGGAGCCTGGGGTCTGCACAGACTTCACTTTGGGGGCAGCTACGCTTCCATGGAGGCAAAGTCCCTAGGATCTGGTGACTTCAGGAGGACCTTCATCTCAGGGGCGTCCACCCAACCTGCCCTTAGGGTGTCTGTCCCTCGCAATTCAGCCTCGCTGTGGTCCTGTGCCTGGTCACATCCCCTCTCTGAGCCTCGGTTCTACTCCAAGAGATGGGACTGCAACCACTGTCTTCACAGAGGTGGACTCTTGGCCAGTCACCTCTGTGGCCAGCCCTAAGGGCAGGGTCCTCCTGGGAGGCTCTCTCCCTCTCCCCTGCCTGCCCCTGAGCCAGGCACTCACCTCCCACGAGGCCGTGTCTTTCCGGTACTGGACCTCAAACTCGAGACCTTTTTGGATTTTATTGATTTCTTCCCATTGCAGGCTGTAGCCCTCTCCCTCCTTGGTCACATTGAGAGTTGGGGGCTCCATCTGGACTGGAGGGAGGAAGTGTTTTAGGGGGTGGTCATGACCTCCACCCTCCAGCGGGCCATTCTATTGTCCAAGCCAATCACAGGGGCCCTCTCTGCTCCCATGAGCCTCACCTGGTCCTGCCCACCTGGACAGCTCTCCTGGAATAAAGATCAAGTATCTCCATTTTGCTAACCCACGCACTCACATGCACGGAGCTGGCTAGGCCACTGCTCTTAGCCTTCAGCTGGCTTTAAGCAGTGTAAGGAGGTGGCTGGGGTGCTGACATATAATTTGAAGCTAGGCGACAGGCACTGTTTTCCTGACCCATGATTCCTAAAAAGGATGCTTGAGCCAGGTGGGACAGAGCCACCTCTCCAGGGCTGTCAGCTGGGATAGAGCCCCGAGATAAGAGGCCACGACTTCCCAGGGCAGGAGTTTACACATCAGAGCTGAAGTCCACGCACATTCCTGAGCTCCTGCCCTGAGCCAGGCACAGGAATGTTGCAGCTAATAACGCAAATCTCTCCCCTTGTGAAGGCCAGCACGATAAAGAAGTATGTTGTAGTGTGGATGATGATTACAACTGGGGAAAATTCAGGTGGAGAAAGAGGCCAGAGCCAGAACAAGTGAAAATACAATTTTCCAAAAATAATTCGCAGAGAGTGGCATTGGAACAAAGGTCTCAAGGAGGGGAGGGAAAAGCCAGGCAGATTCAAAGGCAAAGTGTTCCCGCAGAGAGCAGAGCAGGTGCAAAGTCCCTGGGGCAGGCGCATGCCCAGAGATGCCCCCTCTTGTGAGGGACCATGAGCCTGGAGAGCACTGTGGACATGGGGCGTGACTGTGTGGTAGGAATGCTGGGAAGGTTCCGGGTAGTGGGGGGCACAATTGGCCCGTGTGCTAACAGAGACAAAGCTGGAGGAAGAGGAAGGCCGGAAGGAGGGAGACCATCAAGGGGGCAGGGCCAGGATAAGGGCGTGGCCAGCTCAGGCTGGGGCAAAGCACCACAGAAACAAACTTAGAATCAGCAGGTTTCACAGGTGGAGATGGTGGCATCGGCTGGTGCACAAGACACGCTTTAGAAGGAGCCAGGGCGAGGAGCGCAAGGGTACTGCTCTGTCACTGGCCGAATGAGCCCGGTAGAGAGGAGGGGAGGAGGGGGACAGCCGGGGAGCACGGCCCTGTGAAGTGACCACTGGGCACCCAGGGCAATGTAGGGAGGGCAGAGGAGCGGAGAAGAGGTGCTCAGGACACAGGGCCTTAAAATCAAGTGGAAAACTCAGTGAAGACGGCGGAGGAGGGGACAGTTTTCAGAATCATTCTGGTTCATCATCAAATGAAGCCATGAAATGTTAAAATGATTTCCAACACACACTTGAATTACTACTGTTCGTTTTCAGTGGATGTTCTCACTTTCTTGACCAACAGAAGGACCGAGGCTGAGGAGGCCTGGGTCTCCTGGGTGACCCAAGGACCCCATGCGGTCCCCACAGCCCACAGGGAAGCAGGACGGACTCACTGTGGTTTGAGCTCTTTATGAATTTCTCCCCATTCCGCGGACGCACAGTCACAGTGTACTGGCTGTGAGGCTCGGAGCTGGACACTCGGATCTGGCAGGAATGGTGGGTGTAGATGTCACTGAGCTCCTCCTTCTGCACCTGGGGACATTCCTGCTCCCTGAGGAGCACACAGTTGGGGTCAGGGAGCAGGGGCACCACGGAGGGCTAGACCTGAGCTGGGCAGGGGGGATAGGAGGAGGTTTGGGCATGCCAAGGCTAGAGTAGGAAGGGACGGAAAAGGGACACTCACCCTGCATCCGGGCTGGATCTGTAGAAGAGGCCAAAGGAGACCGAGCTGGTCACCTGCGACCTCACCTCCCAGGAGCAGCTGAGCGTGTGGGCCCCATCGAAGACGCACTGCAGGTTCTGGGGCTGGGCCTGGTCCCCTGTGTGGAGACAGCCCTTGGTCACTCCCCTCCCTCACACCATGGTTGTGGGGACAGCCTGTGACCACCACAGGGAGACCACGAGCTTGGGGATAATGTGATCAGATGCCGCCCGCACTGTGGCCCTGCAGTCCCCGTGCCCACAGCTCCAGGAATCTGTTCCCAAGGATGGCACGGTCTTCATGAGTGAAGCCCTCATGATGCATGGTGGCCGGTGACGCAGCTGCTGTGATGACTGCAGCTGTCACTGGTAGAACCTCGCAGGAGCTGACCCGGAATGTGCATCAGACCTGGAGTCTGACGGGTCAGAGGTCCCCAATGCTGGGGAGCACATGCAGCACCCTGGCTTGGAAGGCCACCGGTGTGGCCTCAAATCCCCACACAGGACGTTAAGGAGCTGCCCTGCCCAGGGGCACAGGTCCAATCGCATCCCTTACCTGGCTGCGAGCTCCAGCTCACCTCGGGGCTCCACTGGCTGGGCCTTCCTGAGAAGCTGGAGCCCCGGGCCAGCCGGGTCCGCACTCGGGCCACGTAGGTGCTGCTAGGCAGGAAGAGCTCGGGCCCCAGGGCCGCCTGGGAGGAGTTGGAGTGCAGGGTGCTGGCACTCTGAGGAGAGAGGGAACATTGTGGGGGGTGCTGCCCATGTGTCCCTCGGGGCTGGGCACAGCTTAGTCCGGGTCCTACCTCCCAGGGCTCGTGAAGCCTTTTGTAGACCACTTCAAACTCCAGGTCCCTCTGCGACAGCCAGGACGTGTGGGGACCCTCAAGGGCCACACTCCAGGTCAGCAAGACTTGGTCCCCAGAGGTGTTGATCTGGACGTCCTGGGGCGGAGGTGGCTGCACTGTAGGGACAGGAAGCAAAGGGCCTGTGAGGCTGCCCATGGGGACACGCGGCCTGCTGTCTGAGGGGGACACACACAGGTCCCTGGACCAGCGCTGCCCTGCAGCTGAGGACCGTGAGCAGGACCCTCGCTGTGCAGCCTGGGGACTCCACCTGAGCACTGTGTGCTGGACTGTGACAGCAGTGACAGCTGCAGGGGCTGGGACTCAGCTCTCTGTGGAGCCTCCCCTCCCAGCCCGCAGTGCCACCTCCTGCCCAGCAGAGGGCACTGCGGTCACACGCCTCCCTCTCCTGCTGCCCCCTCTCCCACCTCCAGGTCCCAGCCAGGGCCCCTGATGAGCATCAGTGTCTCCCCTCTAGGAGCCTCTGGGATCCCTGCTCCTTGTCCCTGCTCTTCCCTCCTTCTAAGCCCGAACCACGATCCCTGGTGCCGGAAGGGTCTGTGGTTTCCATGTTGCCCCCTTGGTAAAGGAGAGGCTTGGGGAGGCTCTCGCCGTCCTTTCCTGTCTTCAGGCCTGACGTGCAGCTGCTTGGTGAGAGGGGAAGGGGGGAAAGGAGAATTGAAGGAAGGAAGGAAGGAAGGAAGGAAGGAAGGAAGGAAGGAAGGCAAGAATGGAGGGTTGCCGGCATGTGCAGTCCTGGGGCTCCCAGGTGTCACTGTCCACCGCTCAGTCACCCTGCTGGGACCTCCTGGGCTCCTACAGAGGCTGCACTCCCCAGCCGTGGCTCTGGGCTCGAGGAGCTCTTTCCTGTTGCCGGGCATGACTCACACCCAGAGCATCCTACAGCAGCACGTGAGCGTCCTATGCTGGTCACGGGATGTGGGGGTTAGAGCAGGTCCCAGCTAGAGCCCCACGGGGGCCATTCGCCCATGATGGCAGGTGCACAGCAAGCTGCCACCTCCTTCCTCCCCGCCAGGACAGGCATCGCCCATGAATCCCAGCATCCCTAGCCCAGGCCCGACATGGAGTGGGCGTCTGGCTCAGCGGAGAGCTCCAGGAAGCTGCCGCCAGCTGGGGGGACGGGGCCAGCTCCACCTTTTAATGGGGCTTCAGTCGTTTTATTCTACTGGCCCATTTCACAGACGGAGCAAGCGATGGAGGCAGGGAAATGCCCATGATCTCGCCTGTGGGAACCTCCGGGAGAGGAGATCTCCGTCTGTGTCCTCCTTTGTCACCTACAAGATTCCAGTGGCCAGAACTGTCTCCTGACTCGCACCTGTCCCCGTGTGGTCAGTGCCTTCCTCTCTGTCCCCTGACATGGCTCACTGCTCTCCCCTGTCCCCTTTTGGAATCTCCGTGTGCCCAGTGTGGGAACAGAGTCTGTGCTGTGGCCGGCATTTAAACACTCAGCTCCTCTGTCCCTCCTGGTTGCCAGGTCCCCTCCAGGCTTCTTCCTCTCCATGAATCCCGCTGGCTGCTGAGCGCCCACCGCAGCCCCGCTCTCCTCTCACAGAATCCTGCCTTCTGCTTCTGCCCCCCTCGCCTGGCCTGACTTCCTCAGCGTCTGAACATGTGACATCTGCCACAATCCTCTAGGTCACATGTTGTCACGCTGGCCCAATGGATGCATCTGCCCACAGCTGTTGTATGGCCAGAGAGCTGGGAAGAACTTGTATATAATTTTTTATAACTGATACCTATAATCTTGCCGTGGATAGTGGTATAGGGGCATAATCCAGCACTTTGGGAGACTGAGTAGAAGAATGATAAATTTAATCCCTGCCGGGGCAACTCAGTCTGTATCTCATAATAAAAAATGAAAGAAACATTTGTGGCTGCAGTGCAGTGCAAAGGCCCTGGGTTCAGTTTCACCAAAAAAAAAAAAAAAAAAAAAAAAAAAAGAATCAGCTTTGGCCATGCACGAAAATGAAATCCAATTTGTGTCCATGGATGACGTTTTATAGGACATGGCCCACTGGCCGATGTGTGTCACTACTATGGCCTTCTTATCACAGTGGCAAGGGAGGAGACACAGCAGAAACCAGCTTGGCATGCAGGCGAAACCACTTCTCTTTGGCCCTCTATCAGTGCTGCAATGGCAGGGATTCCTGTCCTTCTTCAGGCCCTGCCTGTGCCCCCACTTCTTCCTTCCATTATCCAGCATGGGAACCGTGACAGGGTCTTCCCAGCATGCTGCCCGCCCAGCCTCCTGGCCCTTGCACGCACCACCACCCTGCCAGGAAGGCGCCTCCCTCCCCGTGCTCCTCCAGGGCCTTCAGTGCTCAGCAGCAAAGCTGCTTCCTTCCTTCTGGGAAGCCTGCCCGATGGCCCAGGCCCGCTGCCCCCTGCACGCAGCACACAGGACAGTGTCTGGTGTTTCCTGGGCTTCAGGCTGCAGCTCTGGCTCCTGGGGAGGACCCCCCTCATCCCAGAAGAGCAGCTTGTCTCAGAGGGGTCAAACCCCTGCCCTGTCCAGGCCGCAGCTTCCCCAGGCCGTGGCCGACGCAAGAGGTTGAGCAGAGCATCCCAGGTCGATGCCAGGAGCTGAGGACCAGGGCGGGATCTGAGGTGGGAACAGATCTGCCTGGGCCACCAGGGAGGCCTCGGGCAAAAGGCTGGGGTGAAGCTGAAAGGCAGTGACGGGGGCACCTCTCTGATGCTGTTTGGAGAAGAGGACAACAGTCGCGGTCTCCCCCAACACCAGCCGCACACACGGGCTTGGCCTGGCACCCAAACCTTACTCACAGGAACCCCTCTCCCCCCAGCCTCACGGAACAGCCCTGCCTGGAGCCCAGCGAGTGAAGGGCCGGCCGCTCCTCCTGCCACCGGGAGCACACGCAGCCCTCGTCCTGCCGATGGCCGTGCGCACCCAGCCAACCCTGCTGGTGTCCTGGCCTCCGAGAGCCCAGTGCACCCCTGGGCCTAGGGAGGTGACAGCTCGGTGTCTGAAGGGCAGGAAGGGCTGGGCCTGTGATGGTGGCCAGGCCTGGGAACCCCGCTGGCCCTCACGGGCCTCACCACCGAGGCACCATGGCAGGAATGAGAGGCCCGTGGCCACTCAGCTTCCACGTGAACCTGTGGCCGGGCTCCCTGGGGGGAAGCTGTCAGGGTGGGGTCTGGGGGCTGGGTGGTGGCGGCAGCAGCCGGGGCCGGGCAGGCAGCCTGGCTGTGGCTCTCCTGTCACACCTGCTCTAACGGCTCCATCACAGGACACTTATCCAGGACAGTGTCTCCACCCCTCGGCCACTCACTGCCTGGTCCTTCTGCCCTAGCCCTGCTGTCCCTGGTACCCGCTGTCTGTGCAGGGACCCAGCCCTGGCAGGGGCGCCAGCTCTCACCATGCCGAGGCAGCGTCACCATGAGCTGGTCATTGAGAGGCCGGTCTGGCAGGAATGAGAAAACGGTGCCCAGCGCATTGAACCCCCTGTGGGGAATGACACACCTTCTGGGCACACAGTGAGGAGCCGGGCAGCGTGACCAGGGCATGTCCTTAGTGAGCTCACAGGACACCGGCTGGGACTGGTTCCTGTGGAGAGAGCACAGGGTTTCATGATCCGACCCAGATCCATAGGAGTCATTCGTTCACTCATTATTTACTGTGTGCCAGGCCTTGCAAGGGGCCAGCAGTGATCCCTGCACATGCAGGTGCCCACCCACAGAGCCAGCACCTGGTAGGAGGGGCACCCACTAAACCCCTGGGGGCACGGAGTAGGGGAAACCCTCTCCTGGGTGAGTAAAATTGGGGAGAAGGCCGTGTGATATCAATAGGACCAAGGCGAACCCAGAATGGAGAATCAGGGGCAGTGCTGTGAGCCCGAGACAGGACCCTGGAGGGTCCCACCAGGCAGGGGCAGAGGCTCAAAGATGAAAGACAGAGAGAGTCACTACGTGGAGGAGGCACTGCAGGGAAGGTGGGGTCACAGACCGCTGAGAAGTGGCCTTGAGTCAGCTGAAGGGGCTCATGGGTGACACCCTGAAGTCATGGGGTGGGGCCTTACAGAGCTGGTCCAAAGTGAGGGGGGTCCCCAGAGAAGCCTTGGAAGCTGCCATGCAGGAGCCTGGAGAGGGGGGCTGTGGGGACGCGAGGTGGGAGCTGCCCTGGTGCCTCAGTCAGCACTGACATCTAGAAGGGCGTCCAGCACGTTTGCAAGGTGACTGGGTGTGATCCCGGGAGACCGCAGTGCCAGTGACACTGGGAAGGTGGGGACGTTGGTGGCAGTGATGACCTGTGGGATCTGGGCTCAGGCCTCAGAGAGCAGCTGGGATGGGGATACACTGCCCTGGCAGGGAGGGTTCAGAGCCCAGCAAGCACTGGCTGGAGCTCCTGGTGCCTCTGTCTCTGTCCCGTGCTATCCAATCCTACCCAGCACTGGCCCTGCCACACCCCTGCAACCCCATAGCCCTAAGCCAGGCACCCCAGACAGAGCAGCTCATGCTCCTCCCCCACTTGTCCCCTTCACTCACGCATTTAGCCGGTGATGGAGGGTCACGTTGATGAGCTGCTCGGCGGCCGCCTCCGCCGCCCAGCTGCACACGATGCGGCTGGTGTAGTCATTGTAGCAGCGCAGGGTCTGCAGCGGGACGGTGTCTGCAGGAGAGGCAGGAGGGTCACCCTCCCCTCCGGCCCCTGTCACCACCCCCACGCATCGCCAGGGTGCACAGCCCTGGGGAGGGGACCCGGTTCCTGCAGAGCCCTGGGCAGGGCAGCTCTGTGGGGGCTCTGGCTGAGGACCCCTCTCTTCACAGAAACACAGCTGATCCCCAGGCCATTACTGGGCCCTGTGTGCTGGCCCCAGGACAGCTGCCCTGGAGAGGGGACACATATCAGCACAGCCCCACCCCACCCCCATACCTCAGGTGCCACCCCAGGAGAGGCCCCACCAGGCCCACCCTTGGGCTGCTCTCTGTCCTCTGCCTGTCTGGCCTGGGTTAGGAAAAGGGACTGTCATTCTTGAGGTGGTGACAGAAGCCAGTGTCTGGGGGCACTGAGAGGGTCCCTTTTGTCTCTGGAGCCCCAGGAGCACCCCAGGACGACCAGACGCACAGGCTGCTGCAGAGGAAGCTTCAGGCCAAGACCAGCAATGGGGTCCAGAGGCCTCCAGGAAGCAGAGTAGACCCCCAGGAGGTGGGCCCCTCAAGTGCCACAGTGAGGTGGGCAGGCAGGGACTCGGTCCTGCTCGCAGGGGCCAGGGAAGGGTGAGCAGGGTATATGGGAGCCCCGAAGAGGACCCAGGTGACCAGGCCTGAAGGAAAGACGGGGGTGACACAGGGAGGGAGAGCTGCGGGTGTCCAGGAGCTTACAGGGTCCAGGGGCTGACCTTGGCGGGGTCAGGAGTGAGGTGGGGGGTGAGGGGGAGGAGCCTCAGACTCACCCTCTGAGCCTTCCACCCTGGGCCCCCTGCACAGAAGCAGCAGGGCCATGAGGAGCAGTCCTGGGCAGGGCGCCATCTCCTGGTGGGCTCTGGACCTGCAGGTGGGTGGCTGGTGGGCCCTGGCTATGGACAGAGGGGCACCCTCACTGCCCAGAAGTTTCCTGTTGCGGCCAAGTCGGGACGGCTGGTGTCCTACGCCACCAGCTTTTTTTCCATCCAGCAGCAACCATTCCTCCCTTGGACCTGAGAAATTGGATACAGGCCAGTAGGGACCTTCGGCCCTCTCTGCATGGCAGAAAAAAGGCCATGACGGCGTTTGGGAGACCGAGGCTCCTGCTTCCTCCTCTCTGGCTCTTGCTCCCTCACCTGCCCGGGGTTGCTACAAACCAGGCTGCATCCTCTGCTCTGGGGTTTGTACCCAGTGCTTGGTGCTGAGCCCCAGTCTCTTTGGGGGGTCCTCCTCCCGTGGAAAGAGGCTTGTGTGCCTGTCAGGATGCGCAGATCCCTTTGGGCCATACCTCATGATGCCAGCTACTCTGTGCGCTGCCCTCCCCCAGGCCTGAGGCTGCCCTGCCCGTTCCCAGTGCCCGGAACAGGTGGAGGTCACTTGGTGATGTCACTGGAAGAGTCAGATCTGCATCTGCCCTTCCTTAAATTCCTAAAACCTACAGAGGACACAATATTGCACACCTGCACACACACTGGGACAACTGCCACAATGGGGCCAGCTGTAAACCCTGTGGCTGCTGGCAGGGGGGAGCAGAGAGAGGAGGGAGGAGGGACAGAGACGGAGCTTTCTCCTCTCCAGCCACACCCACCAACTCGTCCCCTCTTTCTCTATCTCTAGACAAACCCACATCTTGGATTCCACTAACTCTAACCTGGCCAAACCAGCAGAACCCACTTAAATTCAGGACTGTGATCCGGGGTGGACCCTCAATGCTGCCAGGAACCCCTGCAGTGCGGGCAGCTCAGCCCCGTGCCTCACCCCTCAGCTCCCCAGCAAGCTGCTCCCCTCAGCTCCCGCACCCAAAGCTGTCCCCTCTGCCCCCCTCACTGCCCGAAACCCCAGCCCTGGGGCCGCACCAGCCCTACCTCTGTGGCAGGACAGGACTACTCCTCAGGGAGCCTCCAGACGGCTGTGAGCCTCTGCGGCTGTCGGCTGTCGGCTGTCGAGAGGAAACAGAACCAGAAAGAGGAAGCAGAGCCTGTTTCCATGCACAAGTCCTCTCACTGGCATCGCCCCACTTCTTGGAACTGTGAGCGCCAAGATAATAACTTTTTTATTCCAGCCCTGACTACTTTGCAAATGTCTTGTCTACTTTTCTCTTGTTGCTGGGACAAAATACCCAGCACCCAAAATGAAGAAAAGAAAGGTTTATTTAGCTCACTGTTTGTGGAGGTTTCAGTCCTGGCTCCAGAGCAGGTATAGCACAAAATCTCTGTCTCCTCCTCTTGCAGAGGGTGAGAATATTTACAAAGTAACAACCCTGGCTCCCTGCTAAGTCTTTTAGTTAAACTTCTAAACTGCTCGAGTGGACACAGTGTATCAGCCATAACATCAAATGTTGCTCCTGCTAACTGGCTCTGTCTCTCTGTGAACTCCTACGCAGGCTTCAGTCTCTGCTCAGACAGAGCCTCCTCCAGGCAGCCCTCTCTGATCTTCCCAGGCACTGTTGGCTTCCACCTGTAGTCTTGCTTACTGTGGGACTTGGTTCACTTTCTCTCCTGTCACTTGGCCCTGTCTCCAGGCCCCACCTGTTTCTTGGAGATAATTATCTACCAAACTCAAAGAGAGTTTGAAGGAACCAAATGGAATAACACTTGTCACTTGATAACTCACGGTCAGGGTGGGCTGGAATTGATTTTATTTCCCGTGGGTTTCTTTCTCTCTCTCTCTCTCTCATTCTCTCTCTCTCTCACACACACATGCGCATGCACACATGCACACGCGCACACACACATGCACACACACGTGCGTGCACTTGTGTGCTTTCCTAGTTCACATCTCTGCAGCCTGCATATGCTCTGGTGCAGACTTGACACTCCAGACTGTGTGTAGAGTGAATGAATGACCCCCTGAGAACAGAGACTGCACAGCCCCTGTCCCCCTCCCTCCTGGTCTCTGGCGCTATCCAGCCTGGCACAGGCTGCTCCTGGGAACTGCAAACACCTGGGAGATGATGGACAGAAAGACCTGGATGCCAAGTAGCAGACGGGGCGCTGAAGAGGCTGGTGCCCACCTTTCCCACCTTCTGTTCCCCTGCATCAGGGACTAGGGCAGGAAGCAGGGAACCATTAGCCTTTGCCCCTGTGGTCCTTGGATGTCTCCCCACCGGGCAAGGCAAACCCTTTCTGCTTAATGCCCTTCCCTGGGGGACCGTGCTGCCCAGGACAGCCTACCAGAGGCCCCTGCTGGCACCACTGCCCTTTCTGTGCTCCAGCATGTGTGTGACATGCGGTCTTGGCATGGAGAGAGCGTGTGGGGGACGCAGAGGTGACCTGCCCCCGGCTGTGCTCCCTGCTGGGCAGTCCTGCTCCAGGTCTGAGCTTGGGCTGTGCTGAGGACCAAGGAGGAGCTCAGGGTGGGCACTGTACCAAGTGCGGGCGGAAAGAAGCTGCTTCAGGGACAGCTGGCCTGTGCCTGTCCTCTGACCCTGCCATGCCAGTGCCACCTTCACTGACTCAGGCACTGTCTGCCCTCCCCGCTCCCAAGGGACCCTGAGTCCCCACCACCCTGCACCGCTGGCCCTCCTCGGTGCCCAGCCCCAGCTCTCCGGTAACAGTGTGTCCCCACCTGGCTGCAGAGTGGCCACAAGTGGAAAAGAGGACTCGGGGAAGCGTCAAGGCCAAAGCTTCTCACGATGTGGGTCAAAACCACTAACTTGAGCATATGATCTTTAAATGAAGGTGTTAACATATGGGACAGGACAATGTTTGCAAACATAGACCACGAGGGTCAGTTCAGGGCAAGCGTTCCCTGACACACAGTTCTGGGATGGGTGACAGGAGAAGCAATGTCCAGGACTACTGGAACCTGCTCCTCTGAGTTCCAGTCTTGGTTCTTCCGTTTGCCAGCTGTGTGACCTCAGACAAGTTAGGGAACCTCTCTGTGCCTGTGTGCTAATCGGCAGAGTGGGGGTGACAATGCTGTCTTCCTCAGGGGGCCACTACAAGGACTCACACTGGTCCACATAAAGCCCGTGGGCAGAGCCTGGTACGCAGGTGCTCACCCTAAATAACTTAGATGCTGTCCTGGAAGGCACTGCTGGGCACCCTGGTGGCATCCAGGGACCTGATTGCAGGCAGCAGAGGGGCTGTCACCTCCCTTGGCCAGGCTGCTGTCATGTTTCCTCATATCCCCAGAATCACTCCAAGCCTTCCTGGGGGGCAGCACATCCTGCTCCATGGTGACGGTGTGGAACCCCAGCCCGTCCTTCCCAAGTCAGTGCCAGGGTCTGACGGACCTGAAGTCCCCATTTCCAGAAGGAGTCTGGAAAGACTCAGAGCCCTGAAAGGAGCAGAAGGGGCTCCCTGTTCTCACCCCCAAGAGAGGAAGGAGCCCCAGCCCCAGCTTGGCTTCTGGCTGGTCCCACACTCTTAGGCAAATCCCTTCCTGCCCCAGATCCTGACTCCGTTCTCTCCTCAGTGGTGAACTCTGGCAGCCTGCTTCCTGGTCCCCGGCTTCCGTGTGCCTGAGGAACCGTGACCTCGGTCCCTCCTGCAGCCCAGCCCAGGGCTTCAAGAGAGCCCAGGTCAATTGTCACTGTCTTAGTTACTTTTTACTGGTCACTGAGATAAAATACCTGATGCCCAAAGTTGGGAAAGGAAAGGTTTATTTCTTACAGTTTTTTTGGTTTCAGTCCATACTCAGTTGGCTCCAAGGCAGGGGCAGGGCAGGCCACAGTTCATGGCAGCTGCAACCAGCAAACAGAAACCAGCAAGACACAGAGACACCCCTTCTTCCTGCCATCACACTGTATGCGGGCTCCACCCTTAGGTGGGTGGAGCACGGACACCTTCAATCCAAGCTATAGACAATGAACCAGTCACAAATGCACAATGCAAAGGCCTGAGGCCTGGGGGCCACCAATATCAACCATGACAGTCACCATCAGAGAACCAGCTTTGGGAACAAAAAATAAGCTTGGAACATTATCGTGCAGAAGTGAAAGCCCAGCGCGGTCCTATTGTCACACACGTCAGTTTCTAAAGTTGACACGCTAACATTTCTTCTAGGTACCAATACCGATTTCCCAGCACTGTTGGCCCAAGATTGCGCCTGGCTTCCCTCCCTGGATTCTCGCCACACTTAATAACACGCTCTCCCAGCAGCACCCCGATGACGGCCTGATCCCCTGTGCACAGTAGAACCGTATTCAGGTAAGAGTCTCTGATAGCAGGTTTCTAGAAGAATCTCTGTACGTAGGATTTAGGGCTCAGGGGGATTTCCTAAAGCCTTCATCTTCAATGTCCGAAAACAGATGGCGAGCTGCACAATCTTTCCTACAAGTTTTTGTTTGAATTTTAACCTCCAGTGGCTCAAAACAGTGAGGAACTGCCTTCCTAAAGCCTCGTGTAAAATCTGTTCTTTGGGATGAGAAAACAAGCGCAAAAATATGCCTACTGTAACTTATCTTGTGTATTTTTTTTTCTTTGTGGCGGTGCTGAGCACAGAACCCAGGGCCTCCACACTGTGCTACATTCCCAGCCTTTTGAAATAATAATAGCTATTATTATTTTGAGACAGGTCTTGCTAGGTCACTAACTTGCCCATCCTGATTGCGACCCTCCCGACTCAGCCTCCCAGAGTGCTGGATTACAGGCCTTGGCTTCTTCATCATTTCTATCAGGCCTGACTTGGGGTGTTTGGAAAGGATGTTATTCTTCATTGTGAACTTTTTTCTTTTTGTGAAATTTGAAAGTGACAAAACACTTTGGTTTCTAACGCATTTCTCCCAAGCTGTAGAGAATTCTCAAATAGGAATTTTGCTTGTGTGGAAATTAAATGGTCTAAATGGTATTAAACTACTAATCGATGAGCTTGTATTGTTGGAAGTGTTTTATTTCATGGACAGATGCTGCTTCTTTCATGGACAGATGCGCCTCTTTTAAGCAATACAATTTCTACAAAGATCATATTTATAATAGAACTGAATACCTAGAATTCTGCCTTTTATCATTATTTAAATTTCAAAGGATAAAACAATATAGAAGCCAGGCCTGGTGGTTCCAGCCTATAATTCTGGCGCTCTGGGAGGATGAGGCAGAAGGATCACAGGTTTGAGTCCAGCATGGACCCCCTAGCAATCTAGTGATATTTTATCTCAGATTTTATTTAAAGCAAAGATGGCTGAGAATGTAGCTCAGTGCAAAGGCCCTGGGTTAAAACCCCAGTGGCACAAGACAGGCCAACAAAATCCCAACACTTTTCTGGGAAAATGCAGCAGAATTAGCCATCTAAGGAGAAAGGTGCTAAAAGACCAAAGGAGACCGACAGACCTGGGCTGGCACCATGGGCACACTGGCGGGGACCTACGGCCAGTGGTGTGGTCCTGCATAAAACAAGACCAGTGGACCTCACAACTCGGGTCAGGGGCAAGGCCTTGTGTAGCCATCATGACAAAAGTGACTTCATGCAAGCCAGGATGTAGCTGGTTTTACCTCAAGCTAACATCAAAGATGTCAGGCACATCCGTGGCATCGATGACCCCGCTCAGCCCTCTAGCAGCTGTGCGTATCTATGGTACACTGGGAAGCCAAGCAGGGGAAAGAAGGCCTTGGTCATCGCCTTACGGGGCACTCAGGTTAGCCAGATGGCTGCCCGCAGGCCAAGCCGGAGGCCTCCCGCATTGCCCTAAAATTATCAAGCAAATGCATTCTCTTCATATTTGTCTGAATGATCTATCTTGCTTCCCAGCTATTCAAAGTTCTTGTAGTTTGTCTTCATAAAGTTAATAGCTTTTTCAGTTGTTAATTACTGCAACATACTCTTGGCATAACAAATATGTTTACAACTAACCGATTCGACGTTAGTGCAAAGAACCCAGAAGCCAAACATAAAGTGCATAAGCAAATTCATTGTAAGGAGAAGAGAGAAGTTGAGAGGGGACCCACAGATTGAAAGCCAATGGCACCAAGTGTTACTGTCCTGAGGGGCACCCTAGTGATGAGACAGTGAAGGGGACAGATCCTGCCACGGGAGCTGGGTCCGGGGGCCCTGGGGACTCTGGGAGCCTGGCAAAAG